CGCAGAAACTGGAGAACTGTCGGCGGGGGCTTCCTGGCGTGGGCGGAGGTCGGTGTGGACCTTTAAGGTCCCCTGACTGTGAGACTGTGAGTCATTGCGAGACGAAACTCAGCCTGGGCTTCCAGGGCTGAGCTGTCGGACATGTGTGAACTTTGGGGCTGCACAGACCTGTGTTCAAACTCTGGCTCAGCCAGGTGCCTGCCGGGAGATTGGAAAAGCTGCCTCCTCTTGCCTCAGTTTCCTTGTCATGAAATGGAAATGGCAACACCTACCTCATGGCAGTCTAGGAGTGGTGCCCACACTGCAGCTGGCACCTCCCATTTGAACCAATGTCCAGGTGAAGGATTTAGCAGGCCTTCTGATGGCCCGCTTTGAGGTAGAGATGGAAATCTACATATTAGGGGGCTGGCAGTGTTGTGCAGAGGGCTGATCTTCAGCCCTGTGCTCCTAGCATCCTATATGGGGACATGTTCATGTCCTGGCCACTCCACTTCTGACTCAGCTCTCTGCTGATGCCCAGGGAAGACAATGGAGGATGGCCCAAGTCCTTGAACTCCTGTACCCATATGAGAGATCTAGCAAGAAGCTCCATGCTCCGGCTTCAGATCAGCTCAGTTCTGGCTGTTGTGCCCAATTACGGAGTGAACCAACAGATGGAAGACTTCTGTCTATCTCTCCTTCTCTCTGCAAAAATCTGCCTTTCAAATAAAAAAATAATAATAAATACATTTTTAAAAAAGAGAAAGAAATCCACATGTTAAACCAAGCACTAAATGTTTGGATTCCTTAGGAATTGTTTGTTTGTTTTTTTTTTTTTCTGAAAGTGCTTGGCTCTGAAATCACCATGGAAAATGATACTCGAGAGGGCAAAAATGCGAGAAACATGGCAAGATTTTGGTGTCTGTGCTTTTGAGTCTCTGATCCAAAAGGGACACGCAAGGCCACCTAAGCAGGCCCCCACGGGAGCAGGGGAGTCCTCCAAGGCCGTGGTAGGCCAGCCACAGGGCCCTGTGCCTGGAGCCTGCTCCTCTGTCACCATCTGTGGAAGGCTCCCCACCCCACCCCATCCCATCCTGCCCAGGCTCCCCACTGGTTTTCCATGTTGGCCACTGGAGACCAGGATTTTCTGGCGGCAGGATCCTCTATGGAGAACATTCCCCCATAGTGTAAGAACTTGAGGACCACCTGGCTGGCCGGGGCCAGGGCCTCCCAGATAGATCCGATACCCACAGTTAAGTCTCATGATCCCAGATCTCAAGTTCTGTGCTGCCTCTTAGCTGTGCCCTTGGCCCAGGCACCTCGGCGAGCCTAAAGCCCATGTCAAGACCCCACAGGCGGGAATGGCCGTGGGGGCAGCTCCCTGGGAGCATCGTATGGGTCTTAAAGGCCAGAGTGACTGCAAACTGGGGCTGTCTGGGCTGACAGTTTGCACCCCCAGATGGGGTTGTCACTCAAGCAGGAGGGCTGTGCCCAAGCAGGAGGACTCAAAGAGGGCTGTTTCCATCGGACATGTTGGTGACTGGACAGTATGTTTCGATCCAAGCAAGGTTTTGGTAGGGGTAGCGGGGAGCTAGATCGACTTGTGAAAGCTAGAGTGAGTTTAATCCATGGCATCCTTAGCCCAAGGGAACCCACAGGAGCCCTCCCACTCCCGCAGGGAAGCTGCTAGTCTTTCTGGCCTACACCCCTGGGCCAGCCCTGCGGTGGAGCCATTGCTAGACTCAATCCGCCATAGCAAGACTGGTTCAATTCTGGCCCTTTCATCTGTGAAGCAGGGCAGGGTGGGCAGAGATGTAACAGAAGCAGACACTGGTCCATGAGGCTGGGACTCTTACTGCACAGGCAGGTCCTCGCTCCCTGGGGTCATCCTTGCTCCCACCTGCCTCCCCGTCCTCCCTCCTTGGCCCCGTCCTGCTGTGCTGTGTGCACTGGGCCTCTTTTCTGTTCTCACCTCCAGAACAGTGCTTCTCAACTCACACGCAAGTCTTGTCAAAATGCACATTCCTGGGGTGGGTGCGGCAGCACTGCGGGCTAAGCTGATTCTCAGGAAGCCTGCATCCCCGTCAGAGCGCCTGGACTCGAGACCCAGCCCGTGTCCTATCCAGCTCTCTTGCTAATGTGCATGGAAAGGCAAAGGATGATGGCCCGTGTCCTTGCGTTCCTGCCACCCATAGGGCAGACTAAGATGGAGTTCTAGGCTTCTGCTCTCAGCCTGGCTCAGCCCTGGCTGTTGTAGGCATTTGGGAAATAAATCAGAAGATCTCTGTTTCTCAATTTATTCCCGTGCCTATCAAAGAAATGGATGAATGAGGGGTCTTATCTGACAGCCTAGTGGCTAAAGTCCTCACCTTGTATGTGCCCGGATCCCATGTGGGCACTGGTTCTAATCTCAGCTTTCCTGTTTCTCATCTAGCTCTCTGCTTCTGGCCTGGGAAGGCAGTCGAGGACGGCCCAAGGATCTTGGGACCCTGCACCCACAAGGGAGACCCGGAAGTAACTCCAGGCTCCTGGCTTCGGATTGGTGTAGCTCCAGCTGTTGCGGTCATTTGGGGAGTGAATCAACAGATGGAACGTCTTCCTTTCTGTCTCTCCTCCTCTCTGTATATCTGACTTTCCAATAAAAACAAAATAAATCACTTTTTTTTTTTTAAAGAAATGGATGAATGAATAAATCTTTTTTTTTAAAAGATTTATTTTTATTATTTTTTTATTGGAAAGGCGGATATACAGAGAGGAGAGACAGAGAGGAAGATCTTCCGTCCGAGGATTCACTCCCCAAGTGAGCGCAACAGCCGATACTTTGCCGATCTGAAGCCAGGAGCCTCTTCTGTGTCTCCCACGCGGGTGCAGGGTCCCAAGGCTTTGGGCCGTCCTTGACTGCTTTCCCAGGCACAGGCAGGGAGCTGGAAGGGAAGCGGGGCTGCCGGGATAGAACCGGCGCCTATATGGGATCCCGGCCGTGCAAGGCGAGGACCTTAACCACTGCGCCACCGCGCCGGGCCCATAAATCTTTTTTTAAATGTAGGTTCCTGACACTGGCATGGTGACTTGGCACATAAAGCCATCACCTGCAACTTGTATGGGTGCTGATTTGTGTCCCCATTGTTCCACTTCTAATCCAGCTCCCTGCTAATGGCATGAGGAAAACACTGGAAGATGGCCCACACATTTGAGCCCTGGCCATAGATCCAGCTGTGGACATTCCAGCCATCTGGGGAGTGAAACAGTGAATGAAAATTCTCTCTGTATTTCTCCCTCCCTTTGTAACTCTTTCAAGTAAATAAATCCTTAACAATAATTAAAAAAAAATGTCAACTCCTATGAACCAGTACCCAGGGGACCCTGAAGCACACACAGAAAATCGGTCTCCTTACTTCATCAACTTTCTCCAAGCCAATGACCCAAGCACTTCGCTGCACTGCCTGACCAGGGCCACCCCTTCTCCGCAGAGGCCAAACCGCCTCTTCTCTGGTCCAGCCTCTTCCAGCAGCCACCGCCCTGGGCCAGCCTGCTCCCCTCACCACCACGCCTCTACACAGTGGTCACTGATCTGCTTTATTTTCTTTTAAATCTTTTATTTCATTTTATTTATTTTTTAGAGTATTTGTGAATTTTTATAAAGATTTATTTATTTTTATTCCAAAGTCAGATATACAGAGAGGAGGAGAGACAGGAAGATCTTCTGTCCGATGATTCACTTCCCAAGAGGCTGCAACAACTTGAGCTGAGCTGATCTGAAACCAGGAGCCTGGAACCTCTTCCAGGTCTCCCACACGGGTGCAGGGTCCCAAGGCTTTGGACCGCACTCGACTGCTTTCCCGGGCCACAAGCAGAGAGCTGGATGGGAGGTTTCATCTGCTGGTTCACTTCCCAGATGGCTGCAGTAGCCAGGAGGGGCCAGGCCGAACCAGGAGCCAGGGGCTTCTTCTGGCTCTTCCATATTTGTGCAGGTGCCTAAATACTTTGTGCTATCCTCTGCATCTTTCCCAGGCCATTATGGGAAGCTGGATCAGAAGTGGAGCGGCCAAGACTTGGATCCACGGCCAGAGAGCTCAGCTTCTGGGCCACCTGCATGGACAGCCTTCGCTATTCACACAGTCTCATGAACTCGGCATGTCTCACCAGGAGCTGGCCTTGCTGTGTTCATTTTCCATTTCCCCTTCTAGGAAGTAGGACCCATGACAACACTGATCTTGCTCCTTGCCTGGCTCTCCAGGACTGGGGCAAGGCTGGGTAGGGACCAGAAAACACCGGAAGAGGAAAACATCTTTTTTTCTGAGCCTGCCTGTCTGTCTGTAAGACGGGGAACACAGCATGGGAGCAGTTGCCTCACAGGGCTGTCAGCACTGGCTGAGACAGGACCAGTGGAGATGCCATGTGCAATGCCCGCTGCCACCACGGGAGTGCCAGGTTCGAGTCCCATTTTGCTCCTGGTTGGATTCCTGCTGATGCATGTCCTGGCTCAAGTGCTTGGGTCCCTGCCACCCACGTGGGAGATGCGGATGGAGCCCCAGGCCCCTGGTTTTAGTCTGATCCAGTTCTGGCTAGTATGGGATATGAGGAGTGAGTCAGCAGATGGATAATCACGTGCTCTCTCTGCCTTCAAAATAAAAGTGAAAGTAAAGAAAAGCTGAAAGAAGAGGAAATGAGATCCACACACATCAACTGCAGGCACGGAGCTGGACACGTGGTCACCAGTGTGGTCACTGATACGGCAGGTGACCACGGCTCACACCCGGATATACACTCTATGAACATCCGGAAAGGAAGAGCTGGCAGGCTCAAAACACTCAAGAGAGGTGGGCATGGAAACCAAGTCCTAGTATCACCACAGAGGACCCCTCTGGCAGGTACATGTGGGCCGGGCCCCTCGCATCCCCACCAATGAAAGTGGCTGGGCCAACTGCCTCTGGCCCATATCCTGTCACTGCCCAAGTTTCTGGCATGCCACAGCAAAGACAGGGCAAATCCAGCAATGACAAGGGGAGGAAGACAGCTGCTTCGATTCGATCGTTAAGTTTATTAGAAAGGCCATGGACAGATGAACCCTGAGTTACCAGCTGAGGAAGAAATGAGAGAAGCCCCTGGCGCTGGTGGCCTGTCCCCGGCCTCCTGTGAACTCTGTCCCATGGTGAGCATGACAGACGTCTGCCCTGCAGTGCTGTCCGTGTCCTCTCTCCAGAGCTGCCCCACTTCACGGGCTGCCTGGTGGATGCTGGTGCCCGTGGGTGGGAGCCAGCCAGGCGGAGGGGGCCCTCCCTACTAGGGCTCCCCCAGGAGAACAGAATGGACCAGGGGCTACCTGGGGCCACAGTGGGCTCTATTGAGCGGTCAGCGTTTCTGTGTGCAGATGGCTTCTGATGGCCAACTGTGGGGGTCCCCCCAAAGTGGCTCTAAGGAGTCCTAGCCACAGAGTGCCCCAGCGTGACTCAGTGCCCCTCACAGGGCTGTGCTGGCTACTGCTGCTGCTGCCAGAAAGGCAAATGGGTCTCGCAGAAACCCATGGTGGCTAGCGCCGCTGCTTCCTTCCAGGAAGCTCAGAGTCTGTGCGGGGAATCTGGTGCAGCCAGCAGCGCCGGGCCCGAGTCCGTCCCGGGAACGAGAAGGCACTTCTCCCACCCTCACTGGGGTGGCCTGAACTGGCTGCTTCTGGGCCTCTCGGGGGCTCCCCGTTGCTCTGGCCCATACACTCGGACCTGCTTCCTCAGGCAAGGAAGCCACTTCCTTGGAGCTAGCACCAGCCTGTGGCCTGGACGCGCTGGGTCCTCACAGGGTGGTGGACGGCAGCTTCCTCACCCGCCGCTGGGCCAGGATGGAGGACTCGATGGGCTTCAGCTGTGGGGTGGGCTTGGAGCTGTTGAGTGCGGAGTATGTGGCTGCCATGGCTGCCTAGGAGGGGAGAGGCGGGAAGTGAGCTCACGGGGCTGGGGGGTCTGGCGGGGAGTGAGGCGAAGTGCAGCCGAGGGCCAGGACGGGACCCTCTCTCCTGCTGTTCCACAGCTTGCCCAGCCGACTGTCGAGCCAAGCGTGCTAACACTTGATGGCTGCTGGTCCTGCCTCCGCCATCAGACTGGAGACTTACCAGGTCAGTGGCTGTATTCCGCAGAGGATGGAGCCAGTGGGTGCAACGACATGGCTGTATGCCAGCCCTCCCACCTGGAGCACAGGGCTATCTTCTCTCTGTGGTACCACCGCACACCTGGCACCTCCCCACCCCACCTTGCCCTCCAGTCTGGAAGTGGGGCTATACCTTCACAAGCTGCAGGTCCTGGTGGGACAGCTGGCTTTGGGGGAGCTTGTCTTTCTGTGTGATCCATGGGTGCTGCAGCACCTGCTTGGCTGTGAGGCGCTGGTGGGGGTCCACATGCAGCATCTTGGACACTAGGTCCTAGGGGCACAGAGCATGGCGTGAGGGCAGCAGGGCTGTTAGGTCCCACTTGCCGAACAGCCCCCTGCCTGGCAGTGGCTCTGTGCTGTCTCTCTGACCCCAGGCCCCCTGGCCAGGAGCAGCCTGGCATCTCCCACCACACAAAGTCTGCACAGGGCCGTGGCCAGGATTGCGTGGTTCACTGTCTCCCACAGGGCTCAGGTCGGCTATCAAGCCACCCAGCTGTGTGAACAGGAGGAGCTTTCAAAAAGCCTGTGGGAAGCACGTGTTAGGAAAAAACTGTGCATGGAGTTTGGATCTTTTACCCAAAATAAACATGTTTTCATTGCATTTTCCCATGAACTTGCTGAATTTCCCTGGTACAGCAAATGACCTGTGGAACATTCTACATGGGGAAACCCTGGGACCAATCCCATCTGCCTCCTGCAGGTGGCGCTTTACCTTGGCGGTATCAGACACAGTGTTCCAATTACCCCCGCTGAGCGTGAACTTGCCACTGCCAATGCGGCTCAGGATCTCCTCTGGAGTGTCACTGGGTCCATTGGCAAAAGGAGTGTACCTGGAAAAGAAGCCACAGGGGCTGTCTGCCCCTTCTGCTTGGGCACCCTTGGTGGATGATCCGGCAGGTACGGCTATGTCTCCATCTGCAGACCCTCCAGGAGGGGCTGGGGCTACGGGCAAGGTGGCCTCACCCTGCCAGCATGGTGTACAACAAGATGCCCAAGCTCCAGATGTCGCAGCCTTCATCGTAGCCCTGGCGCTTCAGCACCTGGCAGGGGAAGCAGGGGAAGGGAACCCGGCTTAGCAGTGGCATCAAAGGGCTGTATTCTCCTCCAAAGCAGCTGGACATGGACCTCAGGTAGGGGCTGTATCTTCCCTGTGCACCTGGGTCAAGTTCACATTTGCACGGGGCAGGGGATGCGAAGCGGCCTTGGACCCCTGGCTTTCGCAGCCAAGCAGGCCACACCACTCACCTCAGGCGCCACAAAGTTGGCTGTGTAGCAGGGTGTCATGAGAAGCCCATTCTCAGCCCGCAGCTGCTTGGCAAAGCCGAAATCACAGATGCGCAGGCACTCGGGGTTGCCTGACTCATCCACGTATAGGATGTTGCTGGGCTTGAGGTCCCTGTGCACCACCTAGGAGCGAGGGCCTGGGGTCAGCTCGCAGCACAGCGAGGCCACGTGTGCTCTAGGCTGTTGGGAAGGAGGAAGCTCAAAGACAGACCCGCAGCAAGAGGCCAAGATGGGGCCAAGCAGCCTTACATCTGCTGCTGTCACCACCCAATGGAACCCACACGGATGGGTGCACAAGGCAGCACAGACTTAGCCCCCCTAAAATCTCGGCATCCCAGTCTGACCCAGGCAGTGGCTCCATCCTCCCGGTTGCTCAGGGACTACATCTCGGGGTTCATGCTCAAGTTCCCCGTGCTCACAGTCCTCCATCTGTATCCCTGGAATCTCTGTGGCCTTGATGGCTAAACTGTGTGCTGAGAGCCAGGTAAGACGCTGCCGAGGAAGCCCACATTTTACACTGAGCACTTGCATGCAGCACCCAGCCCTGGCTCCAAGCTCCAGCCTCCTGCTAATGCAGACCCTGGTGGGCAGTGACTGCTTTAGGAACTGGGTTCCCACCACCTATGCGGGACAGCTGGATTGAGCTCCCAGTTTCCGGCTGGGAGCCGAGTCCTGGCTGTCATCAGCATTTGGGGAATGAACCAGTAGAGCACAGGGGTCTCTCTGATCTCTGCCTCTCACATAAACCTTCTCTCAGCCCCTTACTGGGCCTCCTGCATTGGCCTCGCCGGTCAGGGTCAACAGAAAACCAGAGCTGTCATCCCAGGAGACTTTCCCAAGGCTTCCCTTCCCAAGGCAAAGGCTACCCCCACCCCTGCCCTCTTATGATGCTTCCGGGCACAGATGCTCAGTAACTCTCTGCTGGACAAATGAGTGCACGCTACCACCGGGGCCACGGCAAATGACTTTTTCAGCCCCCACCTCCTTCCTGAGGGGTTGAGCCACCCCACTTTTCTTTTTCTTAAGATTTATTTACTTTTATTGGAAAGTCAGAATCACAGAAAGAAGGAAAGACAGAGTGAAAGATCTTCCATCTGCTGGTTCACTCCCCAAGTGGCCAAAATAAACATGTAATGGCCAGAGCTGAGCCAATTCGAACCTAGGAGCCAGAAGCTTCTTCCAGGTCTCCCACATGGGTGCAGGGTCCCAAGGCTTTTGGGTGTTCTCTACTGCTTTCCCAGGCCACAAGCAGGGAACTGGAAGGGAAGAGGAGCAGGCGGGACATGAATCGTAACCCACATGGGATCCTAGGTGTGTACGGCGAGGACTTTCGGTACTAGGCTATCACACTGGGTCCCACTCCACTTTCCACTTTTCTCACCTTTTCCCCATGTGGATCCACTGGCAGTTAGTCCAGCAATCACCGCCTCAATGACACCAACAACTCTCAGAATGCTGAGCTGAGCCTGGAATTTCCCAGAGTTGAGGCTCACACATCCGGTCCCCTAGCTCAGGGCAGCCAGTGGATGTTCCTGAATCTCAAACTTAGCACATCCTAAACTCTTCATGCTCTCGCCCTCCCGTTCCTCTCCCTGAGCAGAGCTAACAGAACACCCTTCCCCCAGGTCTTGTCAAAGACTGTCAAGGGCCGCCTCCCTATACGGTAAAGCCTGCATCCCAGCTCCGTGGGGGTGGCTCAGCCTCCTGTTCCAGCCCATCGCCCCCCACATCCTTACGAGGTGCCAAATGCAGGCTGCTGCATTGTTAGCCCCCTAACCACAGCGGCCTTCAGCCTGCCAGTCTGCATCCAGTCTGCATGTGACCTAGCCCAGGGTGTGGCTAAGGGATGTGTGTGAAGGCGTGAGCAAAGCACGTGGTGGAGACACAGGCCTCGCAGCTTGATCTGCCTCTTGAGGCAGCCCTTCCCAGCCAAGCCCAAGCCCTCCAGCAGGTGGTGCTGGTGAAGTGGGGAGCCTGAACCCGCAGCAGGAAGCAAGGTGGAAAAAGGATGACCCGGGGACCCACCGAGAACTGTGCCCAGCCCTGGAGAAGTCCCTGGTCTCTCTCCTTCCTAAGGAACCCAGAGCCCAACCCAGGCCCCAGGAAAATGAGACTCTTCTCCCTGCAGTGGCCTGGCCATGCTTCCCAGCCCTCAGGGACACTCAGCTTAGGGCTAGAGCTGTGGTATAGTCAGTAAAGCTGCTGCCAGCAATGCCGGCATCCCATTTGGGCACTGATTTGTGTCCCAGCTGCTCCACTTCCAATCCAGTTCTTTGCTAATGTATCTGGGAAAGCAGCAGAGGATGGCTCAAGTCCTCGGGCCCCTGAACCCATGTGTAAGACCTGGAAGAAGCTTCTGGACTTAGCCTACCCCAGACCTTGCCCTTGTGGCTATTTTGGGAGTGAACCACCAGATGCAAGGCCTGTCTCTTTATATATAGCTGTAAATTTCAAATAAATAAAATAAAATAAATCTTGGGAAAAAAAGACAGGGCGTGGGAGGACGCTAAGCTTGGGTGAAGACACCCACTCCCCTGCACAGGTGGTTGAGTCCTGGTTTTCATAGTCCACCCAGTTGTGACCTCACTGCATCTCAACTGGGCTGCCCACTGCACTTTGGTAAGTGGGCAGGGAGCCTTGGCCCCACTTGACAGAAGAGGAATTTGAGGCTCTGATTGGATGGCTGGCTGGCTCCCAGGGCACCCAGATGGTTATTCCACAGTCCTGCCAGTCTACACCTTGTGGTCTTAACCTGCCCTACTACAACCCAGAGCAGTTCCTGCAGGAAGCTGTACCTCACCCGTGCCAGCAGCACTAGAACAGGAAGGGCAGGGGCGGGGAGAGACACAGCTCAGAAAGGCCCTGCAGGTGATACTGAGACCCTACTTGGGTGTGTGTGTCAGGGGGTGCAGACTACCTTCTCAGCGCCCCCAGCCCTGCAGGTTACAGCAGGTGTGACAAGACAAGTAAGGTGCAAAGCCAGGCTCAGCAGGAACAGCTGTACCTGGGCTCCAGCTGGCAGCCACCTGGCCCAGTTTGTCCAAAACAGCCAAATCACCAGACCTGGGCAGACCAAGCCTCAAACAGAAACAAAAACCAGCCCAGGCCAAACGCAGCCTCGGTGTCAAGAAGCTGCCCTCCAGGGGTAACAGGCAGGCAGGTCTGAGTGGGACTCCTGACTTCTGCCTTCCACAGCGGTGTGGCCTCAGCCCTACCATCTGTAAAATCGGGCTGACAATAGCACTCCAGTGCCAAGTTTGTAGGGAAGAAGGGGAGCCGTTCCCACGGGACGTAGGAAATAGCCAACCACTGGAGCCAAAGCCCAGCAACAGCTGGATGTTGAGATGCAGTGACTGCTTTGACAGAAGCGCTTAAAACTAGAGGCTAAGAAGAAAAAGAAAGGTGAGAGTCCAAGTTCAGGGTGTGGACGCTGGAGGGGTAAGTTCCTGAAGCTTCCAGCACCTCACTTCCCTCATTAATGCATGGAGCTGATGGGACCTTCTTCATGGGTTTGCTAGATCAGTTAAGTGAGTGAGCAGCGTAACAGACAGAGATGCCAGCAGCAGCCGCCGCCGCCACCGAGGGTGTGTGCTTAGGGCCCTGTGATCAGACCAAAAAAGGTAAGGTTGTTCTGTGTGAATCAAGTGGTTCCAGAGCGAAGATGGAGCCTGGGGCTGCCTCTCCACTGAGCCTTGATTCAAGCCCCTCCTGCCAGCTGAGAGCGAGGCTGGCACCTGGAAAGGCCCCTGTGATAAACAGCTCCTGCCAGAGAAGACGAAAAGGGGCAGACAACCCAATTTGTAAAGAGAACAATGGACAAGAGCTCTGAACGGGCGTTTCATAGCAGAGGCTGTCCAAATGGCAATAAACATTAGTCATCAGGGAGATGCAAATGAGAAACACAATGAGGGAGCAGGCGTTTAGATCAGTGGTTGGGATGTCAGTGTCACACATCGGAGGGCCTGGGTTCGATTCCTTGCTCCACGTCCTGACCCTAGCTTCCTGCTAATGCAGACCCTAGAGGCAGTGATGACGGTCCAAGGACTGGGTTTGGGTTCCTAACATAAGGCTTTGGCTTGGTCCTACGCTGGCTGCTGTAGGCATCTGGGTTATGGACCAGCAGATGGGAACTCTCTGTTGGTCTTTTTCAGTCTCTCAAGTTAAAACGAACAAAAACAATAAGATCCTTTCCATGCTCTCCATGCCATCCTTACAAACCCATAAACCATAAAGTGCTGACCAGCACTGAACTCCCCTACGCTTGGGCTACTAGACTTCATGGCAGAACAGCTTTGGAAAAAACCTGGAAAATCAAGTAAAAGTGAATGTCTGCATAGATGGCAACCCGGCCATTCCACTGCCCAACGTGCAACCAGCAGGGAAATGAACTTATTGTCACCAAAACACAAAAACTAGAGTGCCACAATTTCTAACAGTAAAACATTGGTAACAACCCAATGTCTACAGAGAGTAGACTCAACAGTCACACACACTGTGGTCTGTGCCTGTGGCAGATCTTACAAAGACCACGCCTGAACAGCAACCACGCAACCACGCTGAATGGAGCTCAAGGACAACACTGAGCAGCACAAGCCTAGAAACAAGAGAGAATGCTGATATAAAACTCAGAAATGGGCAAAACTTGCCCATTACTGGCTTAGGAGGGTCTTGAGGGCACTGGAGACAGGTTGTTGATCTAGAAGCTGATTTCACGGGTACTTCTGAAAACTTACTGGCTTGACCATTATGACTTGTACATGTCATGCTTACCTGTGACACTTCAATCAAAATGTAACATTAAAGTAATAAGAGACAGCAAGCATTTGGCCTAGTGGTTGGAATGGCGGTAATCCAGGGATGCCCTGGATTTAAAATTCCTCCCTCCAGCTTCTGACTGGAACTTCTTGCTAATGCTGATGATGGTAGGCAGTGGATGATGGTTCAAATGGCTGGGTTCCTGCTGTCCACACGGGGGACCTGGACTGAGTTCTGGCTTCAGCTCCAGCCCAGCACAGGCTGTTGCTACCATTTAGGGACTGAACCAGATGATGGGAATTCTCCCTCCCTCTCTCTTTCTCTCTCTGACACTCAAAATAAAATAGCAACTAAAAGAACAAGAGAACAATAGGGGTCCCAGAGGACCTGTTCCCAGTATCCCTGGCTTATACCTACGGTCTCGGTAGGTACCAAATCAACCCAGAGAATTCTCTCCAAACATCTCCACACAAAGTTACTTCTCCGGGGTACGTGTGGCACAGCAAGTGCAGATGCTGCTGGGAGCACCTGCTTCCCATCTCAGGGTCCCAGCTCTGCTTGCAATCCAGCTCCCTATTAATGAGCACCCTGGGAGGGTCAAGTGCTTGGACTCCTGCCACCCCCATGTCAGACCTGGATGGAAAACCTGTCCCACTGTCACTCTACTTTTCAAATAAATAAAAAGTAGGGCTGCTGGTACAGCACAGTAAGCTTGTGATACCAGCGCCCCATATCAGAGCATTGCTTTGTGTCCTGACTGTTCCACTTCCAAACTGGTCCCTGCTAATAAACTTGGGAAAGCAGCGGAACATGGACCAAGTATATGGGCCCCTGCTGCTGGCTTTGGCCTGGCCCAGCTTTGGCTGTTGCAACCATTTCAGAAGGTGAACCAGTGGACAAAAAAATCTCTTTGTGTTCCCTCTGTCTCTGTCACTCTACTGCTTTTTTTTTTTTTTTTTTTTGAAAGATGATTACACAGAGAGAGAAGACAGATTTTGATTTTCCATCCACTGGTTCACTCCTCAAAAGACTGAAAAGGCCTATTCAAAGTTTGGAGCTAGGAGCTTCTTCCAGGTCTCCCTTATGGCCCAAACACCTGGGCCATCCTCTGCAGCTTTCCCAGGCACATTAGCAGAGAGCTGGATTGGAAGTAGAGCAGCTGGGACTTGAATCAGTACTCATATGTCATGCCAGCTGTGCAGGTGGCAGCTTAACCCGCATCTCCACAAGATCAGCCCCTGACTCTGCTTTTCTTTAAAAAAACAACGTGCTCCCATTTCCTCACAAGTAGTCCCTGATCTCTGGAAGGAGCTGGGAACACTGCAGGTATAGCTCCCCAGCTTTGGGAAGGAGACCGTTTTCTCCAACAACCCTAACAAATGGGTGCCCGTGTTCTAACTGGATGGGCGCACTTCCTGTGAAGGCAGCTCATTGCCCTAGAAGGTTCTTCCTTGCTTGGAGCCTCAGGTGATGCGCTGGTAACTCTGGTTCAGCTGTTTTCTAAACCTTCTTGGAGTGACTTTAGTTTGCATTCACTTGGGAATAAAGCAGGAAAAGGAAACACACTCACTGTCTGACCTGACAAGCCTAAGTATGAGTCTGTGCTGGCTATTTCCAAAGCCAAAGCCACTTCACACATGACCACTGGTACCCAAACCGAAGCTCTGATTACAAGGTGAAGTTCTTTCTCACAAGCCCTGATGCAATAACGGATCCAGGCAGAGATCCCGGAAGTGCGGTGATGACTAATGGAGTAAAAGGTGACACCACGTGTGTTAAATACGCTGCCTCGGGAGCCCCACATCTCCGTCCAGGAACAGGGGCTCTGGCTTCATGACTCTCATTCCCACCCTCCCTCCCAAGAGGAAAATAAATCTAACAAAGACTGGCTTCAGAACAGGTTGCAGTTTATAGGAAATACAGCCAAGGGAGGAATGACACGCACAATGCCACAGAAAGCAAACAGATCATTCCAGAAGGCAGGACACCCTTCAGGTCCACTGGGCTCCTCAACAAGTCGGCAGCCTAGCACAGGAAAGCCTATGGACGTAACATAGGCACAGACAGTTTGCAGAACGCATCAAAATGTGCACTTAAGAACTGCTGTATGCAAATTTTGCTTCAATTAAAAGAAAGACTTAAGGGACCAGTGTTGTGGAACAGCAAGTTAAGCTGCGCCCTGTGACACTGGCGTCCCATTTGGGAATCAGTTACAGGCCTGGCTGTTTCACTTTCAATATGGCTCCCTGTTAACATGCCTGAGAAAAGAAGCAAAAAATGGCCCAAGTCCTTGGGCTTCTGCGACCCACATGGGGGATATGGAAGAAGCTCCTGGCTCCAGACTGGCCCAGCTCTGGCTGTTGTAGTCATTTGGAGAGTGAATCAATAAATGGAAGATCTGTCTCTCTCTCTGCCTCTCCTTCTCTCTGTAAAATCTGCCTTTCAGATAAAAATCAATAAATCTTCAAAACATAAATAAATAAAATCTCCTTTAAAAAGAGAGAGTCAGAGATGTAGCAACCTGGGCTGGTACCATAACTGCGGTCAGAGACGTTAACGGGTCACTTCCCATCTCTGCCACTTCCTTTCCAACGCATCCAAGATGGTCACTCCAGCGCCTGCCCATGGCTCATTGGCCTGCCAGCGTTGTGAGCCTGGCACCCCTAACGTGCACTCACCCCCTGCGAGTGTAGGTACTCCACAGTCTTGCTGATGGTGTGCAGGACGCAGCTGGCCTCCCGCTCCGAGAAGAACTTCTGCCGCAGGATCTTGTCCAGCAGTTCCCCACCCCGCATCAGTTCTGTCACCAGGTACACGTGTTTGCCGTCATCATACACCTGTGGACACCTTGCCGTCAGGCCCCTCGGACACCAGATCTCCCGGCCACGAGCCAAGGTGTGGATGCAGCTCCCTCACCTGTCTGGGCTCCCGTGCTCACAGGACAGGAGGATGCAGGCACAGGTCCCAGTGGCCAGGACAGCTCCCCAAGGATATCTGAGTCTGTGCTCCCATCCTTGGGGGTGTGGCCTGACTGAGGGACAAGACCTCCCCTCACCCCAGGAACACCGAGGGGCAGGTCAGAGGTCAAAGGCCTGGCAGTCTAGAGACATTTCTGGGGAGGCCAGCACCCCAGCACACTTCCAGCCTGGAGCTACTCACATCTTTCAAGGTGATGATGTTGGGGTGCTGCCCATACCGCAGAAGGATCTCAATCTCTTCTGAGGGGTCCCGCTTACTCTTGTCAATGACCTGAAGCAAGAGGGGCATGTGAGTGGCAAGAGGGATGGATTCCGTGGGTCCTACCTTGCTAGGCCTGCAGGAGGCCTCAGCCACACACTGCTCCCCAGCGCCCCGAGGGTCAGAACGCAACAGCCTCCACCCCGGCCCAGCAGCACTGTTGGCTGCGGGCTTACCTTGACGGCATATTCCATGTTGGTGGCCTTGTGGACACAGCGCTTGCACACGGAGTAGGAGCCCACACCAATTGTCTCCTTCACCACATACCCATCGCTAAAAACGAGGTTCTTCCCATGGAGTTGCTGCAAGAGACCGAAGGAGAGGTGAGCCCAGGCTCTAGCCTGACAGGGCTCATCCCAGTATCTGGGGTCTCGGGCCAGTAGAGACGGCCCCGAGGAAGAGCCAGGAGCGCTAGGATGGTGTTGGCCGCGCAACCTTAGACACGAACCTGCCCTGCTGTGGGCTCAGCTTTCTACCCTATACAATGAGCCCACCTGTCGGCCCCTAGTCTGCCTGGGCTACAGTGTGCTGTCAGAGGGCAGAGAGGAGTCAAGGCAGGGATTACAAGACACATACTGAGAGGGCTGTGTTTCTGAGAAGCCTGGGCAGGCCTGAGAGGGACAGAGGAGCCCGAGTGGGCCCCCAGCTCTGCCACCCACTGTGGTCTCCCCTCTCTGGGTACCCGAGGCTCTGAGACACATGCAGTGTCCAGCACTACAGGGGCCTCAGCAGGTGTCCCACAGCCCAGAACAGCCCTGGCTCATGGTTTGTCCTCACATCCGCTCAGGTGTGACATTTGTCCTTGGTAGGCGTTTGCTGCCACTTGGGACACCCGCATCTCACAAGAGAGAGCTTGGTGTGAGTCTTGGTTGGTTGCTCTGTTTCTGATCCAGCCTCCTGCTGCTGTGCACCCTGGGAGGCAGCAGGAGATGGCTCAGGGACTTGACTCCCTGCCACTGACATGGGAGACCAGGTGAAGTTCAGCCTGGCCTAGCCTGGCTGTGGCGGGCATTCGGGGAGTACAGGAAGACCTCAGTCTGTCTGTCTGACTTTCAACTAAAATAACAACAAATAAATAAAAACAATTAAATGCTGTGAAGTACACAAAAACAAAGGCATCCCTGTGTGGATAATACATTCCTTTGTCACTGTCACTTCACGCATGAATTCATGCAGCCCTCACCATGATGCCACAGAGGTAGGATCCGTCACTGCCTGTCCAAGCCGAGGCAGCAGAGGCATGGGGAAGGTCAAGATCGCCCCACAGCCCCTCGCCCATAAGCTCCAGCCTCCAGGTCCACACCCCCACCTCTGCACCCTCAATTTGCCATGGAGCAGGGCGAGTGTCAAAATAGGCACCAGTATGAGGACACACAATAGTCTGACCACCTGTTCCTCACCACTAAGGAACCCACTTCTACTCCCACCCCTGCCCCCTTCCCCCTGGGTACCTGTGGCATGTGCCCAGACCCTGGCTCTGTGCCAGGGCATTCAATTCCTCTTTGTTATCCAATCATCAGGGCCTCCTTGTAAGGCAGGCATTCTGGTCCCCATGTGTCAAATAAGGAAAGCAAGAGGTGTGGAGACCTCATGGCTTCCACACTGGCACTGGGGTGTAAGTCAGGCCTGGGCAGCCCCGGAGCCCACGAACCCAGCTGGGCTGCTCTGGTTTCTGGATAGGGCAGGACCTGGGGCAGTAGCACCCGCCCGCTCACCTGTACTACTGAGTGCAGTGGTGCCTGCGTAGTCCGGGACTTGCTGTCATCTTCCATCAGGCCAGTGGCCACGAAGCTGAAGCCACGGAACAGCTGGTGAGCCCCAGCGCTCGGGGGAATGCCTGGGGAATCTGTAGGGGCAGGAGGGTGGATGTGAGCCTGAGGCCAGGCTCTTGAGCCCAGGAAGCAGGGACTCTGGGGCACCCAGGCCTATCTCAGTAGCTGTCTAGGTCTGCCCATCCATGCCCATCCATCCACCTGTGTGCTGGTCCTGCCACATGGAACTGTGCTGACCACAGAACTGCCACCTCCACCTCCAGCTGCAGCCCAGGTGTATCCCTGGGCATCCGCCTCCCGCACGACAGCCAGAGGGACAGCTGTGACCAGGATCACATGCTCCCTGCCTCTGCACGCTTCCCTCTGCCCCGGGAAGAAGCCTACTGCTGTCATCTGACGATCAAGGGCCTCATGATCAGGTTCCTCCCCCAGTTCAGGGCTCAGCCAGCCTCGACTCCCCACAGCCTAAAAGGGGTTCCCCAAGCCAGTGCCCCTCCTGGTTCCTTCCTGTGCCCTCCCAGCTCTGCCCTTTGCCTTGCCTGACTGCTCCAAGCCCCCAGTCCCACCAGTCTCTGCCACCAACAGCCTGAGCTCCAAGACGCCCTGTCTCATTCTCCGTCAAAGCCTCCCCAGCAGCCTACTCTTCACTCGCCACCCTCCTCCTGCCAGAAGTTGAGCCTTACCAAGCTCTCCCCCAGAAGCCTCCTCCCTGCCTTCCTGGGGCAACCTTAGGGTCTGAGTGGTTCTGTGGCTGTGCCCATGCTCCAGATGAGCACGCTGAGGTCCAGCAGTCAGAACAGCCAAAGACAGTTCCCACACTTGCCCCTGACCCGTGGGCGCTGTCACCTCTGCTCTGCCAGGCTGTTCCACCACACACTACTGCGTAGGTCACATTCCTTAGCCCTGACGTGAGTATAAGCTGGAGCTGCTAGGTCTTCCCAGTGAGCCAGAAGATGCCTGGGGCAGGGGTCCTGACTTGCCATTGTAGCCTTCACCAGCCACACTGCCCATACCTCACCCAGACACAAAGAGGCTTGCAAAGCTCCCTGGTGGGAGCAAGACGAGGACATGGGCAGACACTCAGCCCTGCCTCCCCACCTGCCCAGGTGCTCCTGGCTCTGTGCTTCCCTCCTGTACCGGCCCCAGACAGACCACCCGGATGTAGGACGCACCCTTGGGCGTGCGGGACGTGAACTCCGTGTCAAAGTAGAACGTGTCGTCGGGCTGCGCCACGGCCGGCTTGAAGGGCGGTTTGATCTCCCGGCGGTACAGCTTCTGTAGGCGGGTGGGCACTTGTTCAGCATGGCAGGCCACGATCCTCAGTAGCCAGGGCCATGAGAGCCTACAGGAGGCCTGCCCTGGGCCTCTCAAGGCCTCTGCTCCCCTTGGCTCCTGCCCCTGAGGCCCCAGCACCCCCAGCCCGAAGCTCTGCAGGGCCTGACACTCACGTTCCAGTCAATGGTGGAGTAGAAGACATGCCGTTTGATCTCCTCAGCCCCGTCAGGACCGGAGCCTGAAAGAGGCCATGGGAAAAGCCCACGCTGGATGATCCGACTTCTAGACACCTGGTCTCAATACTAAGCCATGTCCTGGTGCCCTGGGAGTGACCGCAGGGGCCAAAGGGGGGATGAGCTGCACCTGCCAGCCCTGTCCCACAAGAGGCCCGCCTGCCCACTCGGCAGTTTCTACTTTGTGGAGCCTCTGAGGATGGAACTCCAATGTTGTCATGGAAGAAGGGAGGCCCAGAGAGGCTGGACAACCTGTCCCAGGCTTCACAGTGAGGATAAGTACCAGACTGGCTGTGAGCTGTACGCAGGCACCTGCTTGCTCCTGACGAGAGCTTCAATTTTGTTCCGTGTCTCCTACAGTCATTTGTAACCACAAGTCAAGCTTGCACTCCACTAACCCCAAGAACTCCGAATTGGGCAGTACGGGGCTGGTCATGATCCAGGCGAAGCCAGGGGCCAAAGCAGCGAACATATTCCAACCACCTATTGTGTGCCAGGCTGAGCACAGAGGCTCTGGGAATCAACAGGGCCCTAAAGAGATGGGAAGGAGCCTGGATCGTCGCTTCCCACAGAGCCGGGGTTCTAACAGATGCCATGGGCCCAGCCCCTCCATTCCTAAACAGCATCCAGCATCGTGCACTCAACACCCACAGGGCTGAAGGGCTGGCTGCAGGGACATGAAATGGAACCAGCTGGACCTGAGCAGGCTGGCTCCCCAACTCATGCGCTTCCTCTTGTGCCTGAAGCCTTGGCGGGGGGTGGGGGCGGGGGCTGTGCAGGGGGCCTCTGTCCTTGTACCCAGAGGGAGTGAGGATGACTCAGTTCCTGCCTCCCTCCCTCCTCCCACACACAGGTCAACCCTCACCCCTCCAGCACTCCCTCATGGAGCCAGAGGCACGGTGGCCGGCAGCATTGTCTGCCTACACAAAGGACAAGAGCCCTTTTCAGTCCAGATGTGGCCCCGCAGCAGGGCTGCAGCTGCCCCCAGCTCCCCACCTCCCCACCACCACGGCCCCGCCCCAGCATCCCAGCATACCGAGCCGGTTGGCAGGATTCCGTTTGAACAGGGCTCGCAGGAGGCTCTGCGCTTCTGCGCTCAGAAACTGGGGCATGCCAAGCTTCGCCCTGAAATAGCCCCCAGCACTCATGAGTGTGTGCCCCGCCCAGGAGGCCCACCTCCCCTCCCCAGCCCTGTCCAAGCCTCGCTCCACGCTCAGTTCAGCCACTAACTCACCTCCCGGGGCATCGGGGTCCCCACCCACAGGCCTCCGGAGACAGGCAGGGACGCTGAACCCAGAGAAGGGTCTCATAGTTGGGCCCCCAAACTAGGATTTGGGATTTGCAAGGGGACTCTGAGTGAGTAGAGAAGGGGCAGAGCTTACTTGAGAATCAGGGTCATGGTCTCCTTTCGGTCCTTGCCCTGGAAGGGCAGGGAGCCTGTCAGCATCTCGAACTGCAGGGGAAGAGAACTGGCTTAGGTACAGAGTCCTGACTCCCATGCCCCGTTGCTCCCTGCCAGCCCAGACCACCAGGAGCAGCACTAGGGAGAGAGCCCAGAGCGGAGCTCCAGGCATCTCAGCTGTAGCCACACCTGGAAGGAACCTGCAGCAAGATGCAGGCTGAAGCTAGCCAGCGTGGCCAGGAAAACAGATATGGGGGCCAGGGGTCCTGGCTCAGGCTGGGGCCTGGGTGCTCACCATCAGTACCCCATAGGACCACCAGTCGGCGCTGTGGGTGTGGCCCTGGCGGTTGACGACCTCAGGTGCCATGTACTCCACTGTCCCACAGAAGGAGTAGGCCTTCTTCTCGTGGTCGATGGCCTCCTTGCTCAGGCCAAAGTCTGCAGCCGGTAAGACAGGGGAAGAAACACCTTTAGAACCCTTGCCCATCACTGTGGCCACCCTAGGCACACACAGGAGGAAGCTGAGGCCCTAGGAAGCTAGGTGACGCACCCCTGGACCTGAGCAGGGTACGAGGTTCCAGGAATGGGGCCCAGGCTCAGACCCTTGCTGAGTACCTGGCACAGCCTCTGTGGGGGAACACGCAGCCCTCACATGGACAAGAGCCGCCAGGAACCCGCTCTGCCCTTCCTTGGCAGCCTCCACTCACCTGTGAGTTTGATGTGGCCCTCCTCATCCAGAAGGATGCTGTAACAGAGATGGGGTCAGGGCCTCAGCTGGGGCCAGCAGGTGGCTTCCAGCAGAGGGCTGTGGGGCAGAGGCCCCAGCCCACAGGAGGTGCTTTCCGCAGATCTATTTGATGAACAGGCAGGTAAACGAGTGGGGGAGGGGGAAGATTTGTGTGTGTGATCCTGGCAGCGTCATGTAGGTATGCGGCTTTATTTATTTACTTATTTATTTATTTTTAAGGCAGAGAGAAAGAGCGACAGAGACAGAGGGAGACAGAGACTCGGACACCAAAGAGGGAGAATGATCTTCCATGCATTGGGGCACTCCCCAAATGGCCACAACAGCCAAGGTTGGGCCAGGTCAAAGCCGAGAACCAGGAATACTATCTGGGTCTCCCATGTGGTGGTAGGGATCCAACCACCTGAGCCCTCATCTGCTGCCTCTCTCATTGGCAGCAAGCTGGAATCAGGAGAAAAGCCGGGACCCAGACCAGGCACACCGTTATGAGATTCAGGCATCCCAAGCGGTGTGTGCCAATGTTCAGTCCCACCTCTTTTTTTAATCCTTGAACCACGTGTGTGTGAGGCAGGTACTACTATGGCTCCGTCTGACCAAAGAGAAACGAGCACTCAGGGAAACTGGGGGATTCCTCAGAGCTACAGAGCAAGAGCAGGCAGGATTCAAATTCAGGTCACCTAACTCTACAGCCAGATGCCATTCCACCTTGCCACCCGCCCTGTAAGGTGGGGATATTAAGAAAAGTTCTTGGGAGGTTGTAGTAAGGAACCACCTTTCACAGTGGCAGCCCAGATGGCATACCAGATTGGTGAAAAGGTGGACAGCGCACCTGCATGAAGCGTGCAGTGCCAGTGATTAGGTGCCCCCCTCCCAAGGAGAGCTGGCTGTGCACCCTGCAACTCCACCCCACCCAATCCTCACACAGCCCAAGATGGTGGATGCTTCCAGGGAGAATAACAGCCACCTCCATGGAGGTGGCCCTGGCAGCTGGCTGTGTGCCCCCTAGGGAGATGGGGGTGGCTGGGAGAAGGGGTCACTCACTTCTCAGGCTTGAGGTCTCTGTAAATGATGCCCAGGCTGTGCAGGTGGTCCAGACCCAACGCCAGCTCAGCCAGGTAAAACTTCACATCCTCCTCCGTGAACATGACCTGTATGCATGAGGGGTTTCAGCTGGGCGCTGGGCAGCCTCCTGGTACCCAGAGTCTACCCTTGAAGAGCTCAGGGTCCCATGCCCTCTCCTCCACCCTGCTCCCTGGGCATCTGAGTTTGAAGTAGGATATGACAGATGCCTAAGCCACTCCTGGTCATCAGCCCGAGACTCCAGAGGCTGGGGCCTGCACAGCCATGAACCAAAACAGCAGTCAGTCATGGTCTAAAGGGAATGCTTTCTGGGATATGCAATCTTAAAGAGAGCAAGGTACAGGACAGGGAGGCCAGTGTGGGACAGGGAGGCTGACGCCAACAGGGAGTCCCAAGTGGGACAGGGAGGCCCAGGCAGGGCATGGAGGCTCTCGTGGGACAGGGAGGCCCAGGCAGGGCAGGGAGTCCCAGGTGGGACAGGAAGGCCCAGGCAGGGCATGGAGTCCCAGGTGGGACAGGGAGGCCCAGGCAGGGCAGGGAGGCCAGTGTGGGACAGGGAGGCCCAGGTGCAACTGGGAGGCCAACACGGGACAGGGAGTGTTCAGGCAGGGAAACGGCGGCAGGGACCGAGAACACAGGTGGGGTCTGTTTGCAGAATCATCCTGGGAAGGTTCAACGAGAAACCACTAAAGTGCTGACTACGAGAGGCTCAGAATGCTGCGGTGAGGAGGAAGACTTCCCCACGAATATTTTTCTTTTGAATCATATAAAGGTTTTAGCTACATAACACTACACTAATGTTTAAAAAATGTATTTTTAAAGCTTGTTTCTCTTTGAAATTGGAATTATGTTAATGGCCCCATTTTTACATCATGCTCAAATACTTTTATATCAGTTCAGTATCTGTCAGCTAACAAGTAAAACAGGAATGTTCCAGTCTCACTTCTTGGTGCATTTGGGGTTCTCCCTGTTGCTCCCAGCCCTGCCCAGGGCAGCGTGGCAGAAATGGTGGCACATGGAGGCTATGAGTGATAGGCACCTTTAGTTCCCCCACATCAGGGAGCACCAGATGCAGGGCCTGGTCCTCTTGGTCCACATCAAGAGGCCGTGCCAGGGTAGACAATGAGTCCTGGACCACGCGCACCAGGAAGACCTGAGTGGCCTCACACCTAGGCCAGTCTGGGACTGGGGATGGGAAGCCTTGTCATGCCCCCATCCGCTCCATCCCAGCATCCCTCCCCCCAAGGAACTGTCATGTCAGCTCACCTCTTTGGAGAGCCGCGTGAAGAGGTCCCCGCCGCGCAGGAAATCCAGAATGAGATAGAGCTTGCCCTCCGTCTGGAAGGCTAGGGAGAGAGGCAGGAGTCACAGGCCATGGGACCTGGCTCTCAGATCCTGGCTCCTGGGTCTGCAGCTAGGGGCCAGGACCACACCACGGGAGGCAGGGCACGAGGCGGGGTGGGTGGGAGTTCGGGGAAGTACTGAGCTCACCATAGTGCAGCTTCACCACAAAGGGATGGTTCACGTCGGCCAGGATGTCCCTCTCCATCTTGGTCCGAACGCGGTCGCGCACTGGCCAGAGCAAAGACAGTCAGCCAGAGGTGGACACGCGGCACAACAGGCAGAAGCTCCCTGGAGACACTCGGTCTCCACACCCAACCTCCCCTTCTGCTCTGTGCCTGGCTGCAGGGCCTGTTCTCAGCTCCCAGCCCTCAGGGCAGTGCCCACTCCTCTGACCCTGGCCTCCAGTACACCCTGATGAGGACCATTTAATTCAGCCAGATTAAACTCCCTTGTGGCACTCTGTGCTCCAGCTTTGCAGACCCCCAACCTCTGTCTCCGCATCTTCCCCAGCATCCTCCATCAGCCCCCTCCTCATTTAGCACAAAAAGCCCAGATCCTAGTGTGGCAGCCGAAGTGAATGGTTCTTTGGAGAGCTGAAAAGGAAGGCAAATTCCCTGAGCCTAAGATTCGGCTCCATAGGTCGCTGGGGATGGCACGGGGGCAACCCCCCTATACTTTTAATTTAAAGAAGAGAAGTTGGGCCCGGCGCGATGGCGCAGTGCTTAAGGTCCTCGCCTTGCATGCCCGGGATCCCATATGGGCGCCAGTTCTATTCCCGGCAGCCCCGCTTCCCTTCCAGCTCCCTGCCTGTGGCCCGGGAAAGCAGTGGAGGATGGCCCAAAGCTTTGGGAGCCTGCACCCGCGTGGGAGACCCGGAAGAAGTTTCTGGATCCTGGCTTTGGATCGGCATAGCATCGGCCGTTGCGCTCACTTGGGGAGTGAATCATTGGACGGAAGAACTTCCTCTCTGTCTCTCCTCTCTGTATATCCGCCTTTCCAATAAAAATTTAAAAATAAATCTTTAAAAAAAATTTTTTTTTAAATTAAAAAAAAAAAGAAGAGAAGTTGCCAAGGTAATTCTGACCATCGGTTCAAACCGCAGCTCCTCCAGCAAGCATTCCTTGCCTTCTAGACACTTTAGACTAAGACAAGATTAACTTCAGGCTAACGGTGCTGGGTTTCTCCTTCACACAATGGTTTTGTTTGTTTCCCTTGCTCCTGAGTTAAGAGGCAGAGGGAAAGAGAGAAGGAGAAAGAGAACACACTCCCATTAGCCGGATCCCTCCCAGGTGTCTGTAACAGTGGGAGGACTGAGAATTCAGTCCAGGCCGACCATTTGAGTGGCATGAGCCCCACCACACAGCCGCACCTGCTGCCTCCCAGGATCTGCGTTAGCACAGAGCTGGAGTCGGGAGTGCAGCTGAGGGATGAATGGAGGGCTCCAGTGTGGGGTGTGGGGCTCCTACCTGCTGGGCCCGATGCCCACCCTCTTCAGAACACTTTAGCTTCTATTTTAGTTTAAAAGGTTTTTTGTTTGTTTGTAAGATTTATTTATTTTGGAAAGCCAGATTTACAGAGAGAGACAGAGAGGAAGATCTTCCGTTTCTTGTTTCACTCCCCAAGTGACCGCAAAGGCCAGAGCTAAGCTGATCCAAAGCCAGGAGTTTCTTCTGGGGTCTGTCTTGTGGGTGCAGGGTCCCAAACTTTGGGCCATCTTCTACTGCTTTCCCAGGTCACAATTAGAGAGCTGGGTGGGAAGTGGAGCTGCTGGGACTTGAACTGGCATCAATATGAGATCCCAAGGCATGCAAGGCTATCAGGCTATCATGTCAGGCCCAGTTTAAAAAATTTTAATGGGGCCTGGTGTGATTGCATAGTGGTTAAAGTCTTCTCCTTGCACGCACTGGGATCCCATATGGCCGCCAGTTCTAATTCCAGTGGCTCCGCTTCCCATCCAGCTCCCTGCTTGTGGCCTGGGAAAGCAGTCGAGGACGGCCCAAAGCCTTTTGACCCTGCACCTGCATGGGAGACCTGGAAAAGCTCCTGGTTCCTGGTTTGAGATTGGCTCAGCTCCAGTCGTTGCAGCCGCTTGTGGGGTGAGCCATCAGATGGAAGATCTTCCTCTCTGTCTCTCTTCCTCTCTGTATATCTGCCTTTCCAATAAAAATAAATAAATCTTTAAAAAAATTTTTTGAATGTATTTTGTTTTATTTTTATTTTTATTATTATTATTATTATTTTAATTGGAAAGGCGGATATACAGAGAGAAGAGACAGAGAGGAAGATCTTCCGTCCGATGATTCACTCCCCAAGTGAGCGCAACGGGCCAATACCATGCCGGTCCAAAGCCAGGATCCAGAAACTTCTTCCGGGTCTCCCACACGGGTGCAGGGTCCCAAAGCCTTGGGCCGTCCTCCACTGCTCTCCCGGGCCACAGGCAGGGAGCTGGAAGGGAAGTGGGGCTGCCGGGATAGAACCGGCACCTATATGGGATCCCGGGCATGTAAGGCGAGGACCTTAACCACTTGCGCCACCGCACCGGGCCCTTGAATGTATTTTAAAAAATCTATTTGAAAGGCATGCCTGACTCCTGGCTTTAGATCAGCTCAATTCCAGCAGCCACTTGGACAGTGAGTCAGCAGGGAAAAGATCTTCCTCTCTGTCTCTCCTTCTCTCTGTAGATCTGACTTTCCAATAAAAATAAATAAATCCATTAAAAGAAAAGTTTATTTGAAAGGCAGAAAGGATTGATTATCCATCCACTTGTTTGTTTTCCAGATGCCAAGGCTGGACCAAGCCAGAACCACAATCCAGAAGCTCCATCCAGATCTCCTTTCCCACATGGGTACCAGGGACCCAAGTACGTGAGCCATCACCTGCTGCCTGCCACAGAGGCAGAATGCAAAGCAGGTCCAGGGACGTAATTCAGCCACTTCTACAAGGGATGTGGCTGTCCCAAGCAGCATCTTCAACGCTGCACCAAGTGTCGGTCGCTTCTACTTTGATTGTTGCATTTCCCTCATTAGGTATGGCAGGGAACCCATTGCAGTTAACTGCTCTGGTCAGTATTTCCTGATCACAACTTGTCCCCAACCCCTCCCCACTTCCTCCTTCCTGCGGTGCTCTTCCTCTACCATTTTTGGTCTAGAGAACTCCTAATTTGCCCTTCATGGCACAGCTTGCCACGTTCCCTGATCTCTGAGCCTGTGTCTCCTACAAGGCTGCGTTGCCTTCCCAGGGCCCTGGGACAGCCATGGCTACATATCCATTTGTGTTCTCCCACAGAGCCCAAGAGCCTTTCCCAGCAAGGACCCGTCTTTTTATCTTTGTCCTCCTGCTGTGGCTCCGCCACCCGTCCCATGAGGAGACCCAGCTGACACTGACCCGCCAAAGCCACCCTTATCACCCTGCAGAGAACCCTCAAAGACACTCTTGTGGATGACACCTCTTGTAGCCCCACCATACACCCAGCCTTGGCTCTGACTCTATCTGGTCAGTCGCTTCACTGGTTCCCAGGCCAAAGGGTCTACAACCAACCACCACTAATGGCCCAAGTCCTTGGAATCTTCCTGAGCTGCTGCCAACCATCCCCAGGCCTTGCCTCCATCACCCTCTCTCATCCACCCAGCCACTGCCCAGGCTTCCCCTTGCCCTTCTCTACCCTGAGCTAGGAGGCCGGAGCAGTGTCCCTCGGACTTCTGGAGCAGCCTGAAGCAGCCTGGTAAACAGTGCTCCTGTCTGCCCAGTGTGACTGCCCACAGTCCCAAGTGTCCTGCACTTGACTTACTGTCTCCTTCTACTGCACCCTCAGCCCCAGCCATGAGCCCTGGCTAGAGGTAGGTGGGGGGTGGGAGGTCTTTGCCTCCGCTGTCCTAGCAGGTGCTCCTGAAGATGGTCCCCACCCGCCATCCATCAGGTTTTCTGCCCAGGGGCTACCCCCACTCACCTTTCAGTGTTGCCTTCTTTAGCACCTTCATGGCATACAGGTGCCCATTGTCAGGCCGGGTGACCTTACGCACCAAGAAGACCTGAAAAGGCAGAGCAGGAGATACTGGGGAGGAGGCTGGGCTCATGGTTCCCCCACTCCAGGTCCCAGGCTGCCTTTAAGTCTTCCTGAGCCCCAGGGCTACTTTCTGCTCTCCTGGGATACCAAGGTGAGCTCTCACTTGCCCTCTATCCTCCACCGCCCTCCCCCACCGCCCACCAGAATGATTAGGGCTGCCCTCCCGGCCTTCGCCTCATGACTCACTTTGCCAAAAGAGCCCTGTCCCAAAACCTTGAGGAGCTCGAAGTGGGACGGGTCAGCCTTCTCGGAGCCAGCCTTGACATGGTGCGTGATGGCGATCTCCTTGACGTCACCCTCATCCTAGCGGAGGCAGAGAGCAGGTGAGTGTCATGGCCCTCTGGCCGTGTGCACTCCCACCACACAGCTCTCCTGACAGTTCCTCCCTCCAGGTACATGGACACTGAATGGGTCCCGAAGGTAGGTGAGCCCAGCCACCAAAGAGTCAGGCTGGGGAGAACCACTCCTTGGACTTTTTTTTTTAATTAATTTATTTTAATTGGAAAGTTGGATTAACAGAGAGGAGAGGAGAAGAGACAAAGATCTTCTATGTTCCGGTTTAATCCCAAAATGACCACAATAGCTAGAGCTCAGCTGATCCAAAGCCAGAATCCAGGAACTTCTTCCGGGTCTCCCGTATGGGTACAAGGTCCTAAAGCTTTGGGCTGTCCTCAACTACCTTCCCAGGCCACAAGCAGGAAGCTGGAAGGGAAGTGGGACAGCTGGGATACGAACCGGTGCCCATATGGGATCCCGGTGCACACAAGGCGAGGACTAGCCACTAGGCTGCCACACTGGGCACGTTCCTCCGACTTTTGCTGCTCTGATCCAGTTGGGCCCAAAAGGATGCCCTGGCTCTCCTGGCTGAGTTCATCCCAGGCTCTGGCTCAGATGTAGGTCTACTCTCGGGGTCATCTCCTCTCCCTACTGCTGTTTTGGTTTGGCCACAGTAGGAAGCAGGGTATGTTCTAATGGGCAGGCTGAGACACACCTTGGCTCCTTGTCTAGATGGGATGAGGGGACAGCTGTTGGACATACCCTTCAACCTGGTCTACAGCAACAGGAAGTTAAGGCTGACGACTCCATGCCTCATCTGCCCAACTCTCCATCATAGAAGTCTACTAGAAGTCCCTTGCCACGTAATCGCTGTTCTAGACCCTTCTCCCCTCCCAAGAATATGCCAGTACTACACCCAGAGCTCAGAAAGGCCTCTTCACTTCCCCCGGAAGCAGGCCTGGACAGCATCTAGTGACCCAGCAAGACCAGGCCCAGATCAGAGATTCCAAAGCTACCTTAGGCCAACCTGGCTGCCCAGGGACTCCCAGGGCCACAGTCAGGCCACGGCCAGATAGCCAGGCACACTCACCGAGTCCTGCTGGGGGCCGGGGCCAGGGGCAGGGGCAGGTGGAGGGGGCTGGCCAATCCTCGGCCGCTGCTTCCTGGGCAGCCAAGGGAGCAGGGCCCAGAGCCGCAGACGGGGCGGCTTGGGATCCTGCTCCATCCGCCCAGCGGGGCCGTGGCACCATGGCAAGAGTAGACAGCGTCTGGGGCTGCCACGGAGGTGGCCAGGCCCAAGGCGGATGTGCAGGGTAAGGGTGTGGGGGCTGGGCCCAGCCCAGCCTGGGGCAGCCAATCACTCGGGGCCTGTGGTTTCCCAGCTACAGGCCTACACCCTCACCACCTTCCCTTCCTCTCTCTTCCCGCCTCCCCAGTGCTGGTGCTGGGAGGGCTACCCTCTGGCCCTACCCTTGCTCTATCCTCCCTGTGGGTCTGCAAAGGCAGAGCCCAGAGCCAGCGCAGCTAGTGAGCAGATAGGTGCCCACCAGACTGAGCAGGTGTCCACCATGCAGCAGCAGATAAGAGCCAGGCACCAGGCTGAGGCAGGCACCCAAGAGGTGGAGGCTGATAAAGATGGGCAGGCAGCAGGCAGGGCAGGAACCAGCCATGTCCAAGAGGCAGGGGTGCCAAATGACGTATACCCAGTGAGCTGAGATGGACAGGGGTGAGGCCCCAGCACAGGCGGAGGCAAGAGGGGCAGGCAGAAGTGGACAGAGATGGGGGGGTGGGAGGAGTGTGAAAGTGGATGGGGTCGGAAATCCAACAGGCAGGAACAGCCGGGGAGCAGGCAGGAGAGACAGATGGGGACGGGAACCCAACACGGGGAGGCAGAAGGCCACACGACTCCAGCAGGCGGACAGATGGAAATCCCAACCTGAGAGGCCAAGACAGAAGGAGGCAGAAACCCAACAAGTACCCAACACATGGCATGTGTCCAGCCACAGGAAACAAGCGTTCCTCACGGAGAGACAGAGCTGGGAGCCTGACAGTAGTGGAGAGAGAGCGAGCCAGCCAGAGCCAGGCAGGCCTCCACTGATCCCCAGCCACCAGGGCACAGGAGAGAGCCTAGCACCCACAGCAAGACCTGCAAATGAGGGGGCACAGAGAAGCTGGGGGGTGGGTGGGAGAAGGCAGCAGAGCCAGCCCCAGTGGTGGTCACTGCCCTGGGGTGTTCTCCCTGTCAGGGCCCAAGGAAGGGGTGGGAGCAGGAGGGCGGGACCAAGGGAGCAGCAGAGAGGGCCAACTCCCGAGCAGGCCCGGCGGCGCTGCGGCAGCACTGGCTCTAAACCAGACATCCCAGAGGCCATGCTCCCCGATTGGGGAACAGGAAACTGAGGCCCAGAACAGTGACTCATACCAATGCAAAGCAAACCAGTGACAGCACCAGCTTGAACCCACGTCCCTCCCCTGGTTACTGCCTGGTTTGGGGTCAGCAGGCCTCAAGTGCCAGGAAGGGGAGGGGGCAGGTAAGTCGGCCAGAGTCACTTCCTGCCCACCCAAGCCCGGTCCCGGGACTTCCCACTCCAGGTCCTGACCCTTGTGGGTAGTCCTCTCTTTAGGAGAGCTTCCCTGACGGGCGGCAACCCCACAGAGCTTCAGGCTCATCGGGCAGCTGAGGCAGACAGGGGAGCAGCTGAGGTAGGCCAAGGCCTCGAAGCAGTCCCTGCCCCACCCACCCCACCCACCTGACTGACAACGCTCCCTGGGGACACAGGCAGTGGCTCAGAAAACCCCAGGGGACAGGGCCACCGCACACCCACTCCACGCCCACAGGGACACGCCGCCCTCTGCTCACCTTTCCGGGACAGGGGCCCAAGTCTCTGTCAAGCCTGGGGAAATCTGCCGGGGTCTGCATGGTGAGGCTCGCACCAGTGGCCACAGGCCCTGTCACTTCTTACTTCTGCTTTTCTTAGCCTTCCTCGCCCAGAAGGCAGGGTCCCTGGCCCCCCTCCTTCTCACTTCCCTCTCAGCAGGGAGGAGCGACAGAAGTTGGGTCAGACTCCCAGGCTGGGGGCAGAGTGGGGAGGGGAAGGGGCCATGGCAGACTCCAAGTCTACCAGCCCAGAGGGGACCCCAGGGACACATCTCCCTGTCTCCTAAGCAGGGGAGACTCAAGACAGAAGTCACAGGGCAGCAAGGTATCCATAAACCCTGGCCTGGCAGTCACTGAGAGAACTTGGGACAGAAGGCAACTAGAACTCCAGCTCTTCACCCTGTGGCAATCTTCCATGGCTAGGTCCACCCACAGTGGCAACCGGGTCCTGTCCCTGCCCAGGCACCAAGGGGAAACCAGCGTGCCTAGGACTCAGGGACCAAAGGAGAGGAGCAGGTGGCAAGGGTCTAGGGCAGGTGATGGCCTGGGCCGGCCCATTTTCATGTAGCCTCACCTCGCCGGGTCAGGTGGATGATGCAAGGCCTGTCCACAGGCATCCCCTATGTGGAAACAAACGCCCCCACGACTTCCTGCCATCACAAGGCCTCTGACAATAATCTGAGGTGCAGAGGCAGGGACAACCTAGGGAACCCCCAAGTCCCCAGCCCAGAGTGGATTCTTCTCTAAGCCCAGAAAAGTCTTGAAACAATACAGGGATATAACAAGGCATAAAACAGCCTCAGAGCTGCCTCTGCCAGGTGAGGGACAGCCACCAGCACACATCCCTTGGTCCCTGCCCTCTCACCAACCCTCTCCCCCTCCTGTCCGCACCTCCAGATACTTCCTCTTCATTTGCTTCCTCCCATGGGGCAGCTGAGAGAAGCCCGAAGCCCCCAGTCCTATCTCTGGGTGAAGCCCAGCTGCCCATCACTGACCTGTCCCCTTCCCAGTCGGCAGCATCTGCAGGGCCTCCCCCATTCCCTGCTGTTCTGATGTTCCCAAGCACATCTCCCAGAAGTCCCTGGGCAGGCGAGAAGGGGCTTGCAGTACCTAGCATCCCTGGAGGTGGGGGAACGGAGCTGGCCCCAGGTACCGGCCAGTACTAGTGAAGAGGGACCCTGAGGCCAGTGCCTGCTGTTGGCTGGCATTGCTGGCGCACAGTGTGCCTTCCTTCAACCTCCGCTCACGTGGGTCCTGCCTGGCTTGGGCTTGGTATGGGGGCCAGGATCCCGTGCCTTGGCTCCAAGGGGAGGTGTCACTCTGCTCCCCTTTAGAGTAACAATGCTGGATTCAGAAAGTGACCTGCCCAAAGTCACATGGCTGGGGAGGTAGAGCACCGAGAACAACAGCGAGGGCCCCTTGCTTCCAAAGCCTGCACTTCAGACCCACCCTCTCCAAAAGGGTGGCCAGCTAGCCTCCCCTCCACCATCAGCAAGGGCTCCTGCTCTGTCCCAGGCCAAGAACCAGACATCAGAAGGCATAGACACTAAGGCACACCCCGGCCTTGTCTTCAGTCCACTTTGAAAAAAAAAAAGTCATGGTAATAAAATACAGCTGCCTCTGGGCACAGCAGTAGGCATGGCAGAGGCAGCCCCAGCTGGGCCAAGGTCTGGGTCAAGGTGGGGATGGTCCCAGGCTGAGGTCGAGAAGACCTGCCAGAGAGGAGAAACCAACTGCGCCCTGAGCACGAACAGGTGTTGGCAGGTCAAAAGACACCCCAGGTAAAGAAGGACTAGCTTGAACAAGGCAGCATGCGGCCAGGAAGGCAGGCTCAGGACTGAGAAAGGGCTTCTTTCCAGCCAATCCCGCCTCTGAGGGTCTCAGTTTCCCTCTCGGTAAAATAAGGGCTAAATGGCACACTCTACCCTCAGAAAGCTGGCCATGCCAATGGGTCATGGTGACAAAACGATATTGCAAACAGAACTGCTCCCGCATTGAGCGAGTAGTCCCCTGTGGGGTCAGCCCTGTGCAGGCTGAAGAAACAGAACCCAGCGACACAGGAGGCGGGGGCCAGGTGCTGGGAGGGAAGGGCTGGCAGCTCCAGGATGTGCCTCCCAACACCTGAGGCTACCCAGCGCTACCCAAAGTCCCCAGTCACATCCTGCCTCAGTTCCGGCCAGGGAAGCGGGAGAGATCCGGGAGGGATCAGGGTTTCATAAACAGGAAGAGAGGAGGGGAGGGGGGATGCTCGGGTCTCAAAATAGACTTTCAGGCGCTTCAAAGGGGTCGGGCTCCGGAGACAGCGGGGAGGAGCTGGGGGCGCCCAGTCCACTCCCAGGAAGGGAGGAGCAGATGGAGCCCTACTGCACCTCAGGGTGCCTGCCAGGTGTGCCCAGGTGCTAAAGGGCTCTGGGACAGTTACCCTGGACTGGCTGGCACATCCCGCTCACAAAACCCCAGTCGTTCTCTCTGCCTGAAATCAGTAAACAAGCATGAATCACTCACACTGTACCACGCCTTTGTGCTGTACACACAGGGGCCCTGGGGGTGGGGGGAGCTCTACTCTGAGGAAAAGAGCTCGAGTTGCTGAGGGCATGACACCTGCTGGAGCTCACAAGGCAAACGAGAAATGGGGCCAGGACTCTGCCCTCGCAACACCTGGCCCCCAGTCCTTCCCAACCTTCCTCCACCTGGAAGGTCATCTCTTCCTGTCCTTGCCTGGATTCTGCTGCCTAAAGCCCAGCCATATGCCAGCTCCACAGGGAAGGTGGCCCAGGCAGGCCCCATGAGACCCCCAGCTGGTCTTCCTCTGGCACACATAGCAGTGACCATCTGTCTGGTCCACACTCAGCCCTGAGCTCAAATGCTATGAGCCAAGTCCTATGGGGGTGTGCTTGTCTCTTCCCACTGCTACAAGGGACTGGGCACCAAGACCGAAGTACAAGGTCTGGCACAGGCTGCAGGTGCCCCATGCAGCCTTCCCCCGAAGAGGGGATTTGAGGGCATAAGGTGCCAAGTTCACCTGGGGATCGCCCAATGCCACCATGGCACGCACCAAAACCCTGATTAAGGATAATCTGACCAGCAGCCAGCCCCTTCCACTGCACAATGGTGAGGGCCTGATTGCAGGTTGAGCGCCCCCTGGTGCACTAAGGTCAGAAGTGGACACTGGGGGTCACCGAAACCCACTGCTCCTCGGCAAGCTAGACCGGCAGGTGCGCTGACTTCGGTCAATCACCCACCAGACCATGGTGCTTAGTTATCCTCTCTCTAAAATGCAGACAGCAATCATCTCTACTCCAAGGGTGTAGAGAACTAAACATAAAGCTCCTGGTGTGGTGTGCGGCACAGGTTGAGCTCTTTTCCTTAAGATGGCATGGAGGGGGCCTGGTGCAGTAGCCTAGGGGCTAAAGTCCTTGCCTTGCATTCACCAGGATCCCATATGGGCACTGGTTTATGTCCTGGCAGCCCTGTTTCCCATCCAGCTCCCTGCATGAGGCCTGGGAAATCAGTCAAGGATGACCCTAAGGCTTGGGACCCTGCATCCATGTGGGAGACCTGGAAGAAGCTCTGGGCTCTTGACTTTGGATCAGCTTTGCTCTGGCCATTGTGGCCTCTTGGGGAATGAATCAGTAGACGGAAGTTCTTCCTCTCTGTCTCTCCTCCTCTGTGTATATCTGACTTTCCAATAAAGATAAATAAATCTTAAAAAAAAAAAAAAGATGGATGGAGGGCTCTCCTTGCCCCCATTCACCTCCAGCTCTGTCTCCCTGGCTCCACCCAGGAAGCAGACAGAGGCTGAGGAGCCTCCCCTTACGCCGCAGGGCTGTGATGGAAGCTCCTCTGCCACCTCCACAGTCCCAGCCTCCTGACCTGAACCTCTTGGACCACATGGTGCAGTGAGTTAAGCAGCTACCTGTGGTGCCAGCAGCCCATATCAGAGAGCTGGTTCAAGTCCTGGCTACTCTACTTCCAATCCAGCAACTTGCTAATGTGCCTGGGAAAGCAAGGGAGGATGGCCCAAGGCCTCAGGCCCTGCTACCCATGCGGGAGACTTAGAGGGAGCTCCCAGCTCCTGGCTTCTACCAGGCCTAGCCTTGACTGTAGCAGGCATTTGGAGAGTGAACCAACAGATGGACGACATTCTCTCTCCAATGTTGTCACTTTGCTTTTCAAATAGCAAATATATACATTTTTATATGTTTAGAAAAAATACCTAAAAAAAAAAAAAGTTTGGGGCCTGGAATGATGGCTTAGTGGCTAAATCCTCACCTTGCATGCGCCAGGACCCTATATGGGTGAAGGTTTGTGCCTGCTACACTTCCATTCCAGCTCACTGTGGCCTGGGAAAGCAGCAGAGGACAGCCCAAAGCCTTGGGACTCTGCACCTGTGTGGGAGACCCAAAAGCTCCTGGCTCCTGGCTTCAGATCAGCTCAGCTCCAGCAGTTGCGGCCACTTGGGGAGTGAGTTAGTGGATGGAAGATCTTTTTGTCTCTCTGTGTGTAAAATCTGCCTTTCCGATAAAAATAAATAAATCTTAAGAAAAAAATCTGGGGCCAGTGTGGTGGCTAGTAGTTAAAGCTACTGCCTGTGACACTGGCATCCCCATATAAGTGCCAGTTCAACTCTGAGATGCTCCTTTTTAAAAACTTTTTTTCCATTTTTTTAAAAAGATTTATTTATTTTTATTGCAAAGTTAGATATATACAGAGAGGTGAAGAGACAGAGAAGATCTTCTGTCCGATGATTCATTCTCCAAGTGACCACAATGGCCGGTGCCGTACCAATTCGAAACCCTGAGCCTCCTCTAGGTCTCCCACGCAGGTGCAGGGTCCCAAGGCTTTGGGCCATCTTCAACTGCTTTCCCAGGCCACAAGCAGGGAGCTGGATGGGAAGTGGGGCCACCAGGATTAGAACCGGTGCCCATATGGGATCCCAGAGTGTTCAAGTTGAGGACTTTAGCCACCAGACCACAGTGCCGGGCCCTAATTTTTTTTCCCAATTTTTTAAAACTATTTTTATTTATTTGAAAGGCAAAGCTATGGAAAGAGAGAGTCCATCCAATGATTTACTCCCCAAATGGACTCTATGGCTGGAGCTGGGCCAGGCCAAAACTAAGAGCCCAGAGCTTCTTCTGGGTCAGGGCCCCAAGCACATGGGCCACCCTCTCTGCTTTTCCAGGCACAAAGAGGTTGACTGGAAGGAGAGCAGCCAGGACTCAAACCAGAGCCCATATGGGATTGCTGCTGACACTGCAGGTAGCAGCTTAACCACACCGGGCCCAGTCGGCTCCACTTCCGACCCAGGTCTCTGCTAATGTCCCTGGGAAAAGCAGTGGAAGATGCTCCAAATACTTGCAGCCCCGCACCCATGTGGGAGACCCAGTAGATGCTGCCGGCTCCTGACTTCAGACCGGCCCAGTTCTGGTTGTTGTTGGTATTTAGGGAGTGAAACAACAGATGGAAGATCTCTCTCTGTCTCTCCCTCACTCCCTCTGTAACTCTGCCTTTCAAATAAATAAGTCTTTAAAAAATAATATTTTGGGGGAGAACACATCTTGTTACCAAGCAACTAGTAGCAGCCACTTTATGGAAAGAAATGTTCTAAACCTGGGGCCAGAGTAACCCAAGGGTCTGATTCATGCTATTCCTCAGCTTTTTCCAGGATTAATTTAAGATGTGTTTGAAAAGCAGGAAGACAAAGGCAGTCAGAGACAGATCTTCCATCTCCTGGTTCACTCCCAAAATGTCCACAACAGGCAGGAACTCCGTCTGTTCTCCCACACAGGTAGCAAGGACCCAACTTTTTGAGCCATCACCTCCCAAGCTGGAAGCCAAAATCCAAAGTGAAGCCAAAACTCAAACTCAGGCAGTCTGGCAGGGGATGCAGGAGTCTAAGCAGCACTATGCTAAATCTCCACATCTACTTCCTGGCTTCTGATGGCCTCAGCAGTCACAGAAACCAACAGAGGAAGGGGTGGGCACTTGCTTCTCTCACCCTGGCCCAACCTCTCCAGCTGGTCACGTTATCGTAAGAAGCTGAGTCAAGGTAAACATTGGTTATCAACCCTAAATCCATCTCAAAGGTCGAGGCAGACCAGCTGAATGCAGGGCCACGCAGGAATTGCAGCTGAGCAATGCCAGGCCTTCCTCTGCCAGCACCAAGGCCGTGTGCCAGGCCGTCATGGCCACATTTGTCCTTCACATCACTCCTGTGAGACGGCACCACTTTCCCCACTTCCACCCGAGGAAGCACAGGCCCAGCACCGAGTCAGGCGCTAAGTTAAACAGTGAGAGTGGAGCCTGGGACTTGAACTCAGGTCAGCCCCAATGCCAGAGCCCACACCCTGCCCCTCCATGGCTAGCATCTCCCATAAGCTCACGGCCCCCCAGGGATTTGGACACATATTCTCCACTCTAGACTTGAGAGTACCCCGAGGACAGTGACTGACCTCAGGCCACACGCAACATCTGAGGAGCTACAGGAAGAGATCCACCAGGGCAAGCACCCTGAGAAGTGGTGTGGATGCCATATCAGGCAGTGGGAAAGGCCACAGGGTTCCCTCCAGCCCAGGAACCTGCTATTTCCAGGTCTATGGCCTGAGTGTGACCTGTCATTCCAAGGCTGGGTCTTGAGAGCCAACCCAAACCCCTGAGGGAACAACTGAGGCAGCATCCCAGCTCTGGACCCTTCCCAGGCCACAGTCCCGTCACCTCTGGCTTCCTTGCTGCAGCTTCAGGTGGGATCACAGGACAGCTGAGCTGGGCAAAGCAGCAAGAGACCAGGGGACCCCCACACACCAGATGGGCAGGTATAGGGGCCCCTCCCTCCTCCAAGACCATGGACACAGTACCCCCAACCCAACCCAAGACATGACCTTGGCCCTCACCTTGGATGGCTGAAGTCCAGTTTCTTCCCCCGAGGTCTGGCCGTTCTAGAAAAGGGAGATGAGGAGAGCACTGTCAGAACTTAGCCACGTAAGAGGGAGGTTCTGCAGGGGGTCACAGTTGGGGGTCACCTCTGGGCAGATCTCCTGCTCTGCATTCACGGAGAGCGCACCACAGCCCCTCAGAGTACCCCTGGGGCCAGCGTCCCTCCTGCACTCCGCCGAGCACACACCTCTTCGAAGACTCAGCACCACTGTCACCATCACCCAAGGAGTGGAAAGGGTTATATGTGCCAGAGGCAAACTGGGGGGCTTCACACAAGTGAATCAATGCAAGAGGCCTATTTTCCCAATCCCTAACACAGTGGTGGAAAGAGACAAAGTCCAGGCGAGGAAGGCTGCAGCCCAGGGATGGTGGCCGCCCCCATTGTGTCATACAGAATGACTGCCTCCCTACGCCCCTGCATTCTGTCATGCTGCACGGACGGTACACATGCAGGCCCACCCGTCCCAATACGCGGTACATCCCAGGAGGGTAGAGATGGGCTCAGCTTTAACAGCTGCTCTCTTCCAATCCCCTGCCACATGCCAGGCTGGGCACAATGCCTCACACCTGTGGCACCATCAATCCTCATGACAGCCCTGCGGGAGGGAGGTAGGCTGTGTCCCCACTGGGCAGAGAAGGAAACCGACACTAGGCTGGACAGGGGGTAGAGGGGAGGACACAGAGGGGAGGTGACAGAAATGGGAAGCGGTCCCCAAATCAGGCCGTGTTCAAAAATGCCCCAGCAGAGTGCACCTGCTGTAGGGAGAGGCAGGTGCTGCAGCGCCCCCACTGGGCAGCCCTGCTTCCCCAGCCCACAGACTGCAGCCTCAGGCGGGAACCGTCAGGTGCACTAGATCCAGGATCATCTGTTTTCTGTGTAAGATGAGGTGAACAATCCACCCTACGTGGGCCCCAGGTCACTGCAGGGAGTTGTCCCCACTTGTCCTGGCATAGGGCGGTGGACAGGAGAGTCCCAACAGCTAGGAGGACCCAGCCTGAGGCAGGTCAGGACTTTGAAGTCAGGAGCTGGGTCCACAGGACAGCTGGGGCCTTGCTTGGCAACAGGAGGCACAGCTGCTCTGTCTCTTACATAATCTCCCTGCCGCTGGCACAGCTACCCATGCCGCGCCCAGGACATCCTGCCCCCCTGAGCCACTTTAATGCCCTAATTCTCCCCAGAGGCAAGTGTTCTGCAGGCCCCTCCACAACACACACACACAACTCTCAACAGAGAATGGATGGGTCCATCAGGGTCCCCCAGGTGAGGAAGGTGTGAGAGGGTAAGCTGGGTCTCAGTTCATCTTGCATTCTAGACTTCTCCCTAAATGACCACAACAGTTCACCCACTCACCTCCCACCCCGGGCCTCTCCAAATCTACATTTTTACTGATGTCAGATGTTATCATTGCACTTGACCGCATCATTTGTGCAACAATGAACCAACAGCCTTCTACGAACCAAGCCCCAAACCCTTCCACGGCTCCCCATGGCCTGCAGAATAAAGTCCAGCTCCTTAGCAAGGAATCCAGCTGTCCAGTCCAGCACAACTGATTGAGGGGATGGGTTCAGGTTGTAGGCTAACGTTTTGTTTTGTATTTGTTTTGAGATGTTGACTTCTTTTCTCAGGGTTTCAGTTTCCTCATCTGTACAACGGGATCAATGTAATGTGCTTCACCAGGTGGCCACAAGAAACAAACCAAACAATGCCTGTAAAATACACCTGCATGTAACCCACCCATAAACCATAACCATTACTGCTCTCGGAGGGCCCTACTCGTGAACTAAACAGTCTGAGACAGCACAGACCAGTTCCCAAGCATTGCAAAGTGGCACCCTCTCCCAAGAGAATCCTTCCAGCCTTGTCACTGTCTTCTCTGGGGACAGAATTTAAATGCCACGTCCTTTGTCCGTGCCTCCCCACACTGCACCCCCTCAGCACTGAGCACCCTGCAGGTTAACTCAGAGAGGGGCCAAGACTTGTCTATCACCCTCTCCTTGGCCTTCAGCCAGGGTCCAGCATGCGGGATATCAAATGAACATTTGACCTAGCAAAGAAAGCAAGGAGGAGCCTGGAGTTGGTCCTAATACTCCCAAGTATGGGTTGAGGGTCAGCATTAAGGGACTTACCCAAAGCCCCTCAGCCAGCAGGTGGTACCCTGACCCAAAGTCACACATATCAGGGGAGGCAGAGGTGCATGTGTAGAGGCAGTGGCCTGGAGGCCCACCTGAAGGCTGGTGTAGATATCTGGCAGGAATGGGGGGCCTTGGGGAGAGGACTGGAGAGAGAGCTGCAAAGAGGACCACAGGCGAGCCACTCACAGCCTGGGAGCACTGGGCCCTGCACACCTGGCCTGACTGCCATCACCAAGACCAGGTCACTGCTCCTGCTCTGTCAGCTGCCACTCTGACCTTGAACCTGTCATATCCCTATCCCTGGCCTCAGTCGCCTCACTTGGAGCTTGAAGGCAGCTCTGTCCCAAGGATGGCTGCACTCTGCTCAGTAAGTGAATGAACGGATGAATGAATCAGTGAACAAATGGAGACCACGATGCTGACCTTGCACAATTTGGAGGGCAGGAGCTTGGCTCAAATGCCTGGCCAGAGAGGATGAACAAATGCCTCTCCCTCTTTCTTCAAACAGCAGCACTCCTGAGGGCAACTGCCTAGGACCCCGTTCCCCAGCATCCCCCCACTTCTCAGAGGTCATATATGGGTTCCCACAGACATCCTTCCTTCCTGGGTCAGGCAACACTGGGCAGCAGGTGGAGAAAGCCAGCTTGTGCCCTGCAGGCAGGAAGCAGTTCCAGGAGCCAGCTTCAGGGCCCAGCACTGGCAGCTCTGTGTGCTGCTGGAGGCCGAGGGCCAGGTGCCAGGACACCGCCGGCTCTCAGCAGAGGCTGGATGGGGGCCCTGTGAGCTGCAGTGTCTGCCAGCATCCGGAGCTGCATCCCTTCCACCTGGGCCGCCTGGACCCAGGCCTTGATCGTCACTGAGTAAGACACTGGGGTTCCAGGCCTGGCTCTGAAACCGATTCCTGACCTCTGTCCTGAGACATCATGAGAATTAAAACAAGGTGACATCAGGCGACACAGCCCATCGCTCTCTCCCTGGCAGGACTGGGCCTGGGGCAAGGCTTCTAGCAGGGCGGGAGAAGGCCCAGGCGGGTTTCTCGCCCACACTTCCACAGGCTTTACTCCACCTGCGCCACACCCTGGGCCAGGCCCTGCCTCCCAGCGGCCCATTTTCGGCAACATGGCAGAGAGGACAGGTCAGTCCAGATGCCAGGCTTGTGCCAAACGCCTGGCCAAGCTCCTGACCTGCCTCCTTCCTGGCCGGGAACCGCCAGGGGCAGCGGTGACGCCTGTCCCTGCAGGTGAGAACACTGTATCTCTTACAGGTCACCTGAGCTAAGAACAAGGCCCTGTTCTCCCAGTTTCGCTGGTGAGAACAGCCCAACCAGCACCCTGGCTGCCCCCATGGCTCCTGTTACCCAAACAATACCACCAACTGCCTGGTACCTCCAGGGAGGGGGGGCAGAGGAGGCGGGGCTTGGGGCTTGGGACTCCTAGCTCTGTGCACTCAGGCCCAGCAAGTGCAGGCTGGACCCCCAGGCCTGGCTGCCAGGACCCCAGAGGTCCAGGCAGCAGAACACTGAGAGCTACACAGCATTTCCCGAGTAGGCTCCTGGTGAAACTGCACACAACACACACACACAACCAACCCTTCCCCCAAGCCTGGGAAATCAGCCAGTCCTCGCCTCTCACCGACTTCAGGTGCAACAGTACTCAAAACTGAGATGAATCTCCCATTGAAACCAGGCCCCTGCCTCCGGAATCCCCAAAGGGAAGCAGGAAGTGGGGCCCAGGGCCGGGAAGGGAGCTGCTCTAGTGTCTACCCTCCTCTAGTGTCTGTCTACCCTCCCCACCAGTGTAGCGCCGGGGGTGTAGGGTGTGGGGTGCAGCCCTCCCCTCCTCTGGGGTGCAGAGGTGGGTACCTCTGCCCATGCACCCCAGTCCTGGCTGGGGGGCGTGGGGGGGCACAGACAGGGCCAGGGACTGCAGAGAGCAGAGCTCCTCAGGGTGAGTCAGCGAGAGAACCTTGGAGCAGTCGCGCAGGGCCAGTAAAACCCTGTGGCAGGGATCCCAGAGCAATTTACTCCAAATTGCGCCTTCAGGTTGGTTACCTAATCCTGCCGCGCCCACCCTCCAGGAGGCCGTGTAGGCCATCCCTTTAAAGGGGCAGCACATTGTGGATGCTGCAGACCTGGGGTCCAGACCCTGATCTCACCCTGCAGTTTGGTGGCTGCCCTGGGTCAGAGAAAACAGAGGGGACCCAGCCAAGCAAGACACGGAGAGAGTGCCAGGCTCGGAGAAAAGTCACCTTGGCTCCTGGGGTCACATGAGGTCTTCTGGTGGCCCTCTGCATGCCCTCCTGGGCTCCCCTAACGGGCCTCAGTAGGAAACAAGGGGAAGGTTTTCAACCTGTAGGTTCAGGGTCTTGACCTTGACCCTGGGATCAAAGCGCACACGAAGAGGTGGCCTTTGGTATGCTCAGCACCTGGCACCAGAAAGCTTCCAGGAAGGACAGGAGCTGCTTGTGGGAGAGACCGGGTGGCAGGGGCCAGCTTCACCAGGACCCAGGCCCATTTTACAGAGGGAGGAAGGTGGACCGGAGCCAGGACTCGCCTTCCAGGAATGCTCTTCACCAGGTCTCAGGGCCTTCCAGCTTCTGCTTTCCAGTTCCCTGGAGCAGGGAAACAGGTGTCCTATGGTTCCAGTCCCTGGGCAAAGGAAAGGGTAGTTCAAAGCCCTAGAGGCCCAGTGACATCCCACCTTGCAGCGACCACCAGGGGTTCCGAGATACAATCTTTCCAGAGCCAGCCACAAGAAACAGGGAGCTCCAGAGGAAGGCCCCGGTGAGAAGTGGGGGCGCCATGTCCCTTGCTTCTTGGTTGAATCCCACCCACCTGGCACCCTAGCATTGCTCCTCTGTGCTGATAGCAAAGAGCTCCACTGTTCCCCAAAGATGCCAGGACGGATCCTAGGATCGTGGGGGTGGCAGGGCCGCACCTCAGTGCCCGCCCTGGGATCCCCTCTCCCGGAGACGACAGGGAGGTCCCCTGCGCGCGGCGGAACTGTTCCTTGCACACGCATACCCGAGACACAAGGGGGTGGAGCCGGACAGTGGGCAAGAGATCGCAGGGCACTGGCGCGCTCTCGGGCGCCCGCCGGGTTGCAGCGGCGACGCGAGCCGCCCCGCCCCTGTGCGGATCCGGGCTCGCCAGCCGCCGGCGCCTGTCCCCCGCCCCGCTCACTCACCTCCGGGTCCAGCGGCACCAGCTCCATGAGCGGCCAGGGCTCCTTGAGCTGGGCGAGCGGCATCGCGCCGCCGCCTGGCCGCCCGCGCTCCTCCGGCCGCCCGGGCAGGGCCGCCTCCCGAGCCCCGGGGGCGGGTCCCTGACCCTGCGCCCCCCGAGCGCCCGCGCGCTCCCGAGCCCTCGCGCCCCGGCTGGGCCGCCCGCCCGCCGCCGCTGCCGCCGCCGCCACCGCCGCCCGCCGCCGCGGCACTCGCTGTTCGGCTCGCTCCGTCACCCGGCGCCGCCGCGCCCATTGGCTACCTGCGCGGGGGGCGGGGCCGCTAAGCCCCGCCCCAGCCCCCGCGGCGCGGCATTCCCGGCGCGGACCCCAGCCCGCGGCGCGCGGGGCGAACCGGCCTGTGCATGCCCCGGCCGGGCTCGCCGAGGAGACCCCGCGGGTCTCTGCCTCCGCAGCCGCGTCCTCAGCGCCCGGCACGCCGGGAACCCCGCTCTCCGCTCCTCGGTTCGTGCCGAATGCGCATCCAAAGGTTCCCCTCGTCTTCACCTTCTCCACTCTCCGCCTCACACGGCCACACCGGGTGTCCCGGGCCTGATCCAGGCCGAGGCTTGAAAGGAGCCTGGGCCCCGCCCCGCTCAGGCTCTCACCTCACTCAAGCTTAGGTGTGCCCCCAACCCTTGCACAAGCTTCTGCCCACCCCGGAAGCCCACAGCGGCGGGTCCAAGTGACCTCAGGCTTCTCCGACCCCCAGTCGCGTTCGCGTCAGGACCCGCTGCGCCCCCAAAGAGACTTGCCCTCCTGCCTTGTTTCGGCCTGCGCTGTGCCCCACCGCTGGGGGGCGCACCTCGCCGGCCCTGCAGGTTCCCGGGCTCGGGGATGGGTTGAGCTGCCGGTGCCCCTCAGAGGAGGGCCCCGACCGAACTTCCAGGACCAACCCGCGCTTGGCGGGACTTGGAGTAAAAGGCCGGGGAATGGGATTCCCTTGGGGAGGTTCAGCCTCCACCCACAGAGATCTTGCGGCGCCGTGTGCTGAAGGTAGAGGATGGGAGTCGCAGTTTCCCAGGCCAGGGACCCGTGGTTGGAAGCTGCTGGAAGGCGGGGATGGAAGGGGTTGCAGAACCGCCATCAGAAGCCTTCTAAAGAGCCAGTCTGTACCGAGAGAGCCCTCACGGTCACCTGGTTCCCAAAGCAAACAGGCTCAGAATGCCGAAGTCATATACCCTGGGTCACGCAGCAGGCAGATCAGGTACACCCCAGAGCTCCAGAAAAGTGGGAGCAGGCACGGGGGAGGGGGGGGTGGACAGCAACTGCCTGAGGTGCCCATGTGCCATTACAGAGTGCCAGCTGGAGTCTGGTTACTCTCCTGATCTACCTCCCTGCTAATGCGCCTGGGCAGGCAGTGAAAGACAGTGCAAGTACTTGCTTCTGCCCTGCCTGTGGAAACCCAGGTGGAGTTCCGGCCTCCTGGCTTTGCCTCAGACCTATCTGTTTCAAGCATTTATTGAAGGGATCAGCAGATGAAAGATATTTTTCTCTCTCTTCTTCCTCTCTGTCTCACTCTCTCTTCCCTGCCTTTTACATGAAAAGAATTAACACTTTCAAAATTGAAAGGAGCCCTGGATTTTTCCTGAATGTACACGCCCCAACATGTCCTACTCTCCCAGGAGGGCCCTCAGCTGCTGACTTGAACTGTGGCTTCCAAGTGGAGAGGACTTTGGAATCCAACAAATCTGTATTTGAATCCTAGCTCCAACTCTTCCTGAGCACTGGGAAGCTTACTTTATATTTCAGTTTCCTCCTCTGTAAACGGGCATTGTAACCTTAGGCTCTGGGTGATCAGGGAGTGAGAACAAGATTTAAGATTAATAACCCTCTAGTACACACCAGGCCCTCTTCCTGGACATGTCTTATAAGCTGGGCCTTCTAGAAACCAAGTCCCTGGGGCCAGCACCGTGGCTCGACAAGCTAGTCCTCACACCCATGTGAATGCTGGTTCCAATCCTGTCTGCTCCACTTCCCATCCAGCTCCCTGCTTGTTGTCTGGGGAAGCAGTCAAAGATGGCCCAAAGCCTTGGGACCCTGCACCCACATGGGAGACCCAGGAGGAAACTCCTGGCTCCTGGCTCTGAATCGGCTCAGCTTGGGCATTGTGGCTATCTGGGGAGTGAACCAGTGGATGGAAGATCTTTCTCTATTTCTCCTACTCTAAGTCTGCCTTTCCAATAAAAATAAATACATTTAAAAACTAACTAAGAGACACAGGGTGCTCCTTGCTCTCATGGGGTTTACACTCCTTGGCGTGCCTTTACAGCTAGCTTTAACCCAGCATGCCCTATGGACGGAGCCCTGCACCTACACACGCTGTGTGCTTCTCATGATGTCCTATGCAGCAAGCGCTACGTGACATCCTGTGAATGGGCGAGGACACCAAGAGAAGTGTCTCATCTCCAAGTCCCTCCAGGACTCACAGCTACCCAGTGGCAGGGTTGGGAGCCCTCAGTTGCTGGGGCAGTTTGCTGTGCCCTGGTTCCCACTGCCCAGGGTTTGAGTGGTGATACTTTGACATCACTTAAGCAAAATAATTATTTATTCTTGCGGCTGACATTGCCACGCAACCAGTTAAACTGCTACCTGCTATGCTGGCATCCTACATGGTATATCGGTTCAAGTCTTGCTCTGTTTCCAATCCAGTTCCCTGCTGATACATCTGAGGAGGCCGGAGATGACCCAAGTACTTGTGTGGGAGACTGGGACCGAGTTTCAGGTTGTTGGTTTTGGACTGGCCCATCCCCAGTCATTCAGATAATAAAACAGCAGCTAGATGAGTCTCTCTCTGTGTGTGTATCTCTCTGTATTACCCTCTCTCTAACTGTGCCTTTCAAATAAATAAGTCTTTAGTATATGTACTGAAGCAAACACCTAAATAAGTCTTAAAGAAAATTGCCCCCTATGGGACTGGTGCAATAGCCTGGTGGCTAAATCCTAGTCTTGCATGTGCCAAGTATCCCATATGGACACCAGTTCCTATCCTGACTATTCTACTTCCCTTCTGTCTCTGCTTGTGGCCTGGGAAAGCAATGGAGGACGGCCCAGGGCCTTGGGATCCTACATCTGTGTGGGAGACGCTGAGGAGGCTCCTGGCTCATGGCTTCAGATCAGCTCAGCTCCGGCTGTTGTGACCACTTGGGGAGTGAACTGTAAGATGGGGGATCTCTCTCTCTCTCTCTCTCTCTCTCTCTCTCTCCTCTCTGTATATCTGACTTCCCATACTTGATCTTAGCCAAAAGGCCAAGAAGCGATTATATCTGAATTTCCAATAAAAGTAAATAAACCTTTAAAAAAATTGTTACCTGAAACTCAAATTTAACTGAATATCATGTATTTACAATTTAAAAATTTATTTACTGAAGAGGTAGAGAAACAGAGATCTGGAGCCACAGGCTGGTTCTCCAAATGTTCACCATGGGGGAGGCCATCAGGACTGGAGCCAAGAGCAGGGACTACCATCCAAGTCTGCCACATGGGCGGTGGGGCCCCAGCGACCTGAGCTGTCAGTGCTGTTCCAATGGCTTACACGGGCAGGAAGCTGGAACTGGGAAGACAGCCCAGGCAGCCTGATAGGGCTTGGGGCATCTTACTCCCATCTTAGCCACGATTTGTTTGCTAAATCTACACAACCCATTCATGACTGCAAGCTGGACATGTGGCACCTTGCAGCCTCATGGGACTGACACTGAGGAAGAGATGCCAACACCCAGAGAATGGTACAGTTGGATGGCAGTGGTGGGTAGAGGGTGGGTGCAGGGGGTGAGGTCTGCAAACAAGAGTGGCTCTCTCTTGAGTCTCCCCTTTCCTGAGAACCCTGACTCTCCTTCCTCTGCCTCTCCTGGACTGTGTAGTTGATGGTTTGAACTTTTGCTGGATGAATTCCCTTCCCTGTGGGAGAGGCTGGTGGGCCTGCCCAGGGCCCAAGGGGAACCTGGAGGGCACCTAAGTTCTGCCTGGGGCCTTAGGCAGGTTGAACTGCAATCTACCTTCAGAAGAGGAGCTGCAGTCCCTGAGCAGGGAACCATGAAGGCAGGCCACTGCCCGCCACATGCCTGTGCTCCTGCAGGCTGACTCACACTTTGTGTCCCTCCCTAAGCCTCGCCATACTAGCTCTCTGTCAGTCCTGCTACTGGGCTGTGTACTGGAAGCAATTTCTTTCTCTCTGGGCTCAGCTCACCCCCACAGTCACATTTCTCACCTCCTGTTCTCCACTCCCATGGCACTGGGCACTTGGCAGTTGTGCTTCTCCAAGTGGCGCTGTCACAGTGTTTGCATGGTAGCTTCTGGCTTTGTCCATGGCTGCTCAGCTGTGAGCTCTGCAGGCAGCGATGGGGCGCCTTGGCTCATTCTGGTCTCCTGGTCACCCAGCACAGTCTGCACGGGGATGATGCTCAGAGAGGATACATGGTGCATCCACCACCACCCAGCTGCCAAATGGTCAGAGTGCAACTCAGAGCCAGGCCCTCTATCCCAGCTCTGAAGGACTGCCCCCGCGGGTGAGCAGGCGCTTGCTATTAATCATAGTCACACCAGAGAGATGGGGGCAGGTTGTTCTGATTATGGTCTAGGTCTCAGCCTCAACCTGATGTGAACATGGGTGTATTCACTTGTTCCCAGGTTCCTATCTCACACTAACACAAGGTTTCTAAGTGTAGACATTTATAACTTACAACACACACAAGTAGAAGCAGTGAGAGAAAACAGAGAGCCACATGTGGGCCATCTATCATGAGTGGGCCAGTGGATTGTCCCAAGGGAGAAGGGGTGGGGAGGGAGAAAAGGTCCCTGAGCAGCACCTCTCTCCCATCTCCCACCCCTGGTTTCTTTCATGAAGTGGGGGACAGTGCCCCTACAAGCATGAAACCACCTGGGAATTTTATGATTCCTCCCCAACTTCCATATGAAGTCAAATATCATAGGTGTTTCCCCTAGGTCCCAAATGAAGCAGGTGCATCCTGGAAAAGGGAGTGTTTTGGTGGACAAGTAGGGGGTAGCATTACATTGGGGGTTTACAGAGGCTTTCAGATCTCACACAGACCTAAACCCAGCTCAGGCCAACACAGACATGTAAAGTGTGAGCAAAAGGGAATTCTAACTATTTTATTAAGATTTTTTTATTGGAAAGTGAGATACACAGACAGGAGGAGAGACAGAGAGGATCTTCTGTCCGATGATTCA